CGAATGGGATGCGGTTGAACGAATGGGTTCAACAATGGGCATCCATGCTGTTAGCGTCATGCTAGAGGCTCTCAATAGAGATGCCCAACATGCTTCTATCGCCAAGTTCATTCAAAATGAACTTGACGCTGAACGCGAGAAAGTAGCCTTGCTTCACCAACAAGGTTCTCAACAAGCAGAGTTGTTGAGAGAACAGGGTGCTCAACAATTTGAACTGTTGAGACAGCAGCAGGCTGCTGCTGGTGGGTCGATGCACTCGCGTCGACCCAAAACCTTGAAGATTGACATCTCCAAGTACAGGGGAGTCGAAGAGGACTCCCTCTTGAGATGGTTCGTCGAATTGGATGACGCCATAAGGGCGCGTCGCATCGACGACGGGGATATGCAAGTTGCATTTGCCCAGTCAAATCTGGCAGGACGTGCCAAGACTTGGGCACTGGGGCTCAAGTTGCACGACCCATATGCGTTTGGGTCGTTGGAATTCTTCAAGTCGCGGCTCAGACAAACGTTTGAACCGCCTAGAGCTGAGTTCAGAGCTCGAACCGAACTCTTGAAGCTCAAGCAGGGTAAGCGTGATGTGCACGCTTACGCGCAACATATACGACATCTCACGAGTTGTATAAGTTCCAATCCGGTGGATGAACACACGTTGGTTTCGGTGTTCATGCAGGGTCTTGCGGATGGTCCCGTCAAGACTCACCTGTTCCGGCTTGAACTAGATTCACTAGAACAAGCCATTTCCATTGCGGAGCAGGAAGACTTCAGTCTGAGACAGGCTCGCGCTAGCTCGACATCATATCGTCAACCGAGACGATATGACAACGGAGGTCCAGAGCCGATGGAACTCTGTTATGTAGAGAGCGAGAAGGCTCGCTCTACAGACTACAAGAAGTTGCAGAGATGCAACAGATGTCAAAAGACAGGACACTACGCTTACGAGTGTAGTGCCCCTCGTCCAGTGTCTCGCAACACTGGGCGTAGTGACCGTCCACCCATGAGAAAGGGGCAGGGACGAGGGTCCGCTGTTGGTGCAAAGACGCAACAACGGGATGGACCGTCAAAAAACGATCTGGATCAGTAGGTGCGGAGCACCCTACTGGTCCAGCAACGTCAAGAAAATTTATAGGCCTCTTGATGAAGGTTGCTCCCGACACACAAACGTTGTGCGTTGCTGCTCTAGGTAATGAGATCTCACGTATTACCTTGAAACTCGAAGTGACGAATAAGTTGTCCCTTCGAGCTCTAGTCGATTGTGGGGCGTCCAACAATTTTGTGCGACGCCAATCGCTAGAAGATGGTCACTTTAAGTTCAATGAATGTGACTCACCTCCTACGAGGATGACGGTACGTCTTGCGACAGGCGCATCCGTAACCGTCATGAAGCGTATAGTGAAGATCCACTATACGCTAGAAGATACTCAATATGACGATGACTTTATCGTATTGGATTTGGATGACAAATTTGATGTCATCCTTGGAATACCGTGGCTCAGAAGGTACGAACCACGGGTAAACTGGCAACATCGAACAGTAACGATGCCTGCCGCTTGTTCATCAGATGGCCATCTGATGAACGTTTTGGAGCGTCCACAAGCGTGTGGATGTACTACGAGTGAGTGCGATGGCCTCACTTGTGGTACGGTCGTTAGTACGACTGCACAAAACCTTAGTGTACCAAACGGTTACACTTCGGAGCAAAGTTCCGGCGGCTGTGAGGAAACACAGGCTGCGCCGAAGGTCCACCACTCGAATAAGTCGGGTGGACTGGGACAAAGATGTATCCCTAGCGGGGAACATCTAGAAGAGAAACAATCTATCGCTCAGGTTAAGCGAAACGATAATCCTAGATCGACTGGAGAGTCTTTCGTAGAGGATCTCGCTGTGGTTGCACAACCCCAGCTAGAGGAAGTAAAGGGAATAAGTCCCAAGATTACAAATACGGCGGAAATAAGTTCCCCGAAACCCGCGGGAATAAGTCCCCGGGAAGCCGAAGGAATAAGTCCTTCGAAGCCTGAGGGAATAAGTCCCCAGGAAATGACAGAGACATTGAATGTCATAGTCAATAACGGATCAAGTGTAGGCGCTTATACACTTGATCTGATTGCGCCTCCGAAGTTGACTTCGGAGATCACTCAGTTGCCAACGCTCGAACATAAAAGGTTCTTGCGTGATCTGCGTAGTGGCAAAGTCAAGCAGATCTGCGTACTCGTCGCTGACGACGAGTGTGTAACCGACATAAGGTCAGCAACAGTGTTTACTGAGAACGAGAGAGTTCTCAGTAGTTCATCTATGGACGAGAGTGTCCTAGATGAAAAGACACGAATTGAGCGATATGACTCCCAATCGTGGGAATCGCTCAAGACAAATCCTCTCTATGAAGATTTTGTTGAATTCAAGGATGTATTCCCTGAAACTGTTCCGTGCGAATTACCGAAGGATAAAGGTATTCGACACGAGGTCAAGCTTAAACCAGGCTCGAAGTAATGTGTCATGAAGCAGTGGCCACTGCCTCGTGAACAAGTACTTGCGATCGACAAGTTCTTTGCCGATCGTTTAGCTGCGGGCCATGTGAGGAAATCAACTTCCGCACATAGCTCTCCGACCTTCTGTGTGCGAAAAGCAACAGGAGGGTGGCGGATAGTGCACGCGTTCAACAAATTGAACGCTGCAACGGTACAAGTACTTGCGATCGACAAGTTCTTTGCCGATCGTTTAGCTGCGGGCCATGTGAGGAAATCAACTTCCGCACATAGCTCTCCGACCTTCTGTGTGCGAAAAGCAACAGGAGGGTGGCGGATAGTGCACGCGTTCAACAAATTGAACGCTGCAACGGTACCGGCTCAGACGCCGATACCGAGGAAGGACGTAATCATTGATGGTATGTCAAAGAGTACCATCTTTTCGTCCATGGATTTGATGGATGGCTTCTATCAAATCCTTACGCGGGAACGGGATATACCCTATACCGCAGTTAGCACGCCTAGCGGCATGCTCTGGGAATGGCTAGTAATGCCACATAGGCTAAGTTACGCCCTTGCAACGATTAACAGATGTGTTACGAATCTGTTGCGATCGGTGCGCGACCTTGCACCGAGTTACTTCGACGATGTCTTCGTCCATAGCCGGGCTATGGATGGAAAGACGGACCTGGAGGTTCATAGAATCCACGTCCGTAAGGTTTCCCACTAATTCGAGAGCATGAGTTGTTCTCGGACCTCAAGAAGTGTATATTCGCAGCGAACTAAATACCACTTCTTGGCCGCATCTCAGGTAAAAACGATGTACGCCCTGATCCGGAAAAGATCAAGGCGATTAGCGACTGACTTGTGCAAGTCGACGTCAAGGGACTTCGAAAGTTCCTTGGCTTGGTGGCGTACTTGCACAAATACTCGCGCAACTATGCATAGATGACCGTACATCTCTCTCGTCTATTAAAGAAAAACGAGAGGTGGTCATGGAGCGCTGAGTGTTAAAACTCTTGTGAAGGCATCAAGAAAAGTTTGATGCGATCGCCTGTTTCGGCGATTGCGGACCAGGACAGACCATTCCGTGTGGTCTGTGACGCCAGCGATTTTTCAATCAGCTGCGCGTTGTTGCAGTACTACTCAGACGGCGTTGAGTGCGTCTTCTGTTACCCATCGCGTCAGCTGCAAGCGGCTGAGCGAAATTACCTGGTGTAGACAAGGAACTCCTTGCAATGAAATATGCACTGGCTAAGTTTCGGGTTTATATCTTAGGAAATAGGCCCTTTATCGTTTATACAGACCATGCGTCGTTACGCACGGCCGTAAACAGTCCATACCTCTCGCAACGAATGGCGAGGTGGCTGTCTTTCTTCGCGGAGTACAACTTCTCCGTCGAGTATAACCAGGACGACTTAATGTCGTCACTGATGCTCTTTCGCGTTGGCCCGATTTCGAGCCGACTGCTCAACACCACAGTAGGGGTGATCCAACAGTAGCAACACTAACAGTGAGTGTTCCGACGTCGAATCTGCTCGATGACGTGTGAAAAGCATAAACAGAAGATGTGTCTCTTCTGCGGTTGATAGATTACGTATCCAATCCGTGCAGTCAAGCTTTATAAAGCTTGACGTCGCAATACCGCTCTTCAACCGAACGGTATTCTGTTCGTGATGGAATACTGTACTATACAGCAGTCAACGGCGACACAGCTCGTGTCGTCGTTCCGGCTCATTATAATTTGCGACTGCGCATTACGTATGCGTGCCACGATGCCCCAACAAGTGAGCATCGCGGAATAGAAAAGTCTAACCTCATGGTGAGTCGTGACTTCTACTGGCCCGCCAGTACGAGTTTGTGCGGAATACATTCGCGCTTGCGAAGTTTGTCAACTGGTGAAGCCTATTCATTCATCCCGCGCACCCTTTTAGCCTCTTCCAATTCAGGCAGAGTGCTGGCAGTCTGTAAACGATGGACTTCGTCTTCGGGCTTCCCAAAGACGTTAAGCGATGATTACTAGTATTCTTGTGCTTGCTGATCAGTTCAGCAAGATGGTACATCTTGTTTCTGTACCGGAGCCAATTACAGCTTAGGGCTGTGCGCGTGTCTTCATCGATACTATCTTCCGACTTTACGAGTTACCCCGTGAGCTCGTGTCTGAAAGGGACCCCCGATTCACGCCTAAGTTCCGGCAATCCGTATTCCGCTCACTTGGAACACGTTTGACGATGTCGACTTCTGACCATCCAGAAACAAATGGTCAAACGTAGCGCGTCAATCGCGTCCTCAAGAGATACTTCGAGGGTACGTCCACTCGTTTGCGAGTTATAGTGAGTTCTTGCCGATGGCGGAACTCGCCATCAACAACTCGGTGCATGCATCGACAGTATATACACCATTCTTCGTGAATGGCCTACGCCATCCACGTTTGCCCGCATTCTTAGAGTGTGACTATATTTTTAGGGGGGGGGGTGGACTCGCTAGAACAAAACCCGATCTGGTTTTTGCTCATCACCCGTCGACAATGGTGTCGACGTGATGGATGCCGATGTCGATGCGATTGATATCGATGATGATGATGACGACGATGCTGGCGTATTCATCATCGCCAATAACTGCCACAGTGATGATGATGATGTCCTCACTGACTAAGACAACGTTCTTTCAGCAGTGCACACGAAGCGCACTGCTGTTGACAAGGATTAATCAGTAGAGGGATTTCTGCTGACTCGCAAAGCGGTTGTCCGCTTCGTTCAAGACTCTGTTGCAGATGAAATAGCCAAGCAGAAGAGAAACGCAGACAAACATGGAAGAGCAAATGTTCTTACATTTGATGGAGGAGACTTAGTTTTACTGTCTACATTAAACCTACCCAAACACGCATTGACAAACGTGGGCAGCAGTAAATTACTGCCCAAGTGTATTGGTCCATTTCGTGTGTTGCGCCGCATAAGCAACGCATACACGATTGAACTGCCCGAAAGATGCGTACGCATCCTAAGTTTTACTTTGGTCGTCTCCGCCCGTACTATCAGTACGAGCCCGTTTCGAGATGCGAAGAACACCTCTGCGGTTGAGAGCCGAGACCACCTTCGAGTGGTCCCGTTTCAACGAACCAGTCTGGTCGACTATCAAAGGGACCTGTTCACGCAGCTCAGCGATGTCTCGACGAGCAGCAGCCAGCCCATCACGAAGATAACTTGTCGAACGTTCGTTCTCAAGTTGCGCGAACGCAAGAGCGGCACGATCGTCCGAACGATCGTGCGTTAGGGAATTGTAATTATCCCTTACAAGACCATCAAGCTCATAACGCCGAGTCCGATCATGAGCCAGGTCATCTTGCAACTGTTCCGTTACACGGTTCACCTCCTGAACATTAAGCTGATCCAGCCCTCGAGTTAGATCAGGTGTTCCCACCGCCACCACATCCTTTGGTCGACTCAAGCGGTGGTCAACGCTTTCTAGTGGAGCGTATTTTGATTCACCGCGACGTGAATGGCATCCGGACGAGTTGCCTCGTCCGCTGGCGTGGTCATCCACCGGCGTGGGACAGATGGGAGCCTCGTGACCAGCTGATTGTTGATGTACTGGTTCCCGTCGAGCAGTATGACAAGACCCACCCGCTGTGTTCTAGGTAGGGCCGTCGGAAAACGACCTCCCCGAACGCGAGTACAGGGATTGCAAGGTGTCAATCCCTTCGGCCGTCTCGAAAGAGATGCGCGCCCTCCAGTAGGGATCATTAGGGAGGTAAGCCTCCCTAGGGGCACGGTTCGAGTTGTCCAGACAGCCTGGACACAAATCACTCTACGAGATTCAGGGTAATACTGCCTCTCTTGAAAGCCGGTGCAGCTTGTATTGCACCTCGGCTGGGTTACGTTTCTCAAACCTGATGCGACCTGCATCAAGTTTGGCGATGTAAGCCTCACGGCTAATGCACTCGATGTTGTGGATGAGGGCATTCCATCCCTGCACCAAGGCTTTACCGTCTCGAAAACGGCTGCCATTGTACCACCGATGTTTGAAAAACGCATCGGTGAAGAATTCTTCCTCAGCACCGATAGTTTCCGGGCTGGAATCAGGTGGGAAAATCTTCCTGTAATCGAACAACGGGGTTCGGTATCGATCGGTAGTCGTGCCGTTTAACCGGTCTATCTCTCTGGATGACGGCATCCACGGAGACTTCACTTGAGGAGCGTGGCGCAGAACACCTCGGTCCCTGGCCTCTTTATTGGTGCCAGCGTGAGCGCTAACACCAGCGACACACCGAACCCTCAAATTACTTCGCTTGTGGTGATGTAAAGGTGCATCACCACCGTACCCACGCGTACTATCGCTTGATGGACTTGCGTGAGGCGGAGATTCGTCGGAAAAATCGCTCGATCAGAAGATCTTGGACATGAACATGCCACGTTTACCAAATCCAGTAAGCCTGGATCTTGCAGTATTCGCCCCAGGTGATCCGGAGGTGGGAGGAGTCGTCTTTGAGTTGGATACATCATCCGACTCGCCAGAATATCTGAGCTCTATTTCAGGATCATCTTGATTAAGAATCGTGGTACCCACTACAGACGCAGCGGATGTACCTGTCGCACGTGGTTACTCACTACGTGAACGATTCACAACAACAAGCGACGAATCGCCTGCTGCTGAGGTGTGAGAGGCACTTCCCCGGCTGCACGCATGCGAGCAGCCGCCCTTCTTGCTGCTGCAGAAGAAAATCGCTTGGTTTTCGAAACCTTGCGTTGGATTGGCAAATGAATGGGATATGACCAACAAGTGCTTCCTTTCCCAGAGTGATCCAACATTGGTCACCCTGTCCCAATCAATTCTTTTCAATCAACGGGTGATTGATGGTTAAGGGTTTATTTTAACGGGCTAGCCCTTTACATAAAATTGACACCAAAAGGTGCCAATAAGGATATTGTATAGCATGACAATATCCTACCAATATTATCCGAGGTGGATAATATCCATGCTGCTCCAAGATTGGTTGATATGAGACATATCAACCATGGTAACCACCAATCGCTGCTAGACGCGCGCAATGAGTGGTGAGCAGGTTGTCGTCATACGACGGCGTAGTTTAATATAGATAGATAAAGATTACAGTTACATTGATAGCTTAACTACATTAAATACAGTTATCTGTTTACCTTTACTTAACCGAGTCGTTCAAGTAGTTTAGCTTTCTCTGCTCGTATTAGTGTACGTGAAATTTTGTGGCATCCAAACAAAGGATGCCCCGTTACACTTTTTGTAAATCTGTTGGCTGGATAGTGATAGTGATGCTTCACTTGCTGGTGGCGATACTGCAGATAAAGAGTTGCTGAAGTTCGAGTCCTAATCAATGCTCTAGCACGATTCACTATTACTACTTTTGATCCATGTAACGGGGTGAATCGTTACATAACAATTTATAAGAAATTGTTAATAGAATATAACTATAAGAGTTATATTCTCAGATATTGTCATAAGGACAAATATTCTGTAGCACTTACGAGTAGTTCCTAATTGGTTGATATAGGCCATTATATCAACCAACGAAGACGCGCCACGACAGACGCACGCAATGAGTGGTGAGCAGATAATTGATTTACACATTTGTATTCAGACATAGTTAGATGAGGATAAATAGTGATTAATTAACAAACATTAACTATACTAAATACAGTTCTACTTTTTACTTTAACCAAGTACTCGCTTCTTCTTACCGTCTTCCTCTGCACGTACGAGTGTACGTGAAGTTACGAGGCACCGCCTTATTCTGTCATCAGAAAAAGTAGCTTGTACTGTCACCAGTACAAGCTTCAGGGTGCCCCGTTACACCTGGTAGCACTTCGTAGTCCGTCCAAGGACCGCGTTCACATCCAACATGAATATGTTGGATGATGAAGATGACCAAAGCTTTCACGCTACGCGTGACGGCTACTCCCATTTGAGCGATGTCGAATGGGATGCGGTTGAACGAATGGGTTCAACCATGGGCATCCATGCTGTTAGCGTCATGCTAGAGGCTCTCAATAGAGATGCCCAACATGCTACTATCGCCAAGTTCATTCAAAATGAACTTGACGCTGAACGCGAGAAAGTAGCCTTGCTTCACCAACAAGGTTCTCAACAAGCAGAGTTGTTGAGAGAACAGGGTGCTCAACAATTTGAACTGTTGAGACAGCAGCAGGCTGCTGCTGGTGGGTCGATGCACTCGCGTCGACCCAAAACCTTGAAGATTGACATCTCCAAGTACAGGGGAGTCGAAGAGGACTCCCTCTTGAGATGGTTCGTCGAATTGGATGACGCCATAAGGGCGCGTCGCATCGACGACGGGGAAATGCAAGTTGCATTTGCCCAGTCAAATCTGGCAGGACGTGCCAAGACTTGGGCACTGGGGCTCAAGTTGCACGACCCATATGCGTTTGGGTCGTTGGAATTCTTCAAGTCGCGGCTCAGACAAACGTTTGAACCGCCTAGAGCTGAGTTCAGAGCTCGAACCGAACTCTTGAAGCTCAAGCAGGGTAAGCGTGATGTGCACGCTTACGCGCAACATATACGACATCTCACGAGTTGTATAAGTTCCAATCCGGTGGATGAACACACGTTGGTTTCGGTGTTCATGCAGGGTCTTGCGGATGGTCCCGTCAAGACTCACCTGTTCCGGCTTGAACTAGATTCACTAGAACAAGCCGTTTCCATTGCGGAGCAGGAAGACTTCAGTCTGAGACAGGCTCGCGCTAGCTCGACATCATATCGTCAACCGAGACGATATGACAGCGGAGGTCAAGGGCCGATGGAACTCTGTTATGTAGAGAGCGAGAAGGCTCGCTCTACAGACTACAAGAAGTTGCAGAGATGCAACAGATGTCAAAAGACAGGACACTACGCTTACGAGTGTAGTGCCCCTCGTCCAGTGTCTCGCAACACTGGGCGTAGTGACCGTCCACCCATGAGAAAGGGGCAGGGACGAGGGTCCGCTGTTGGTGCAAAGACGCAACAACGGGATGGACCGTCAAAAAACGGACAGGATCAGTAGGTGCGGAGCACCCTACTGGTCCAGCAACGTCAAGAAAATTTATAGGCCTCTTGATGAAGGTTGCTCCCGACACACAAACGTTGTGCGTTGCTGCTCTAGGTAATGAGATCTCACGTATTACCTTGAAACTCGAAGTGACGAATAAGTTGTCCCTTCGAGCTCTAGTCGATTGTGGGGCGTCCAACAATTTTGTGCGACGCCAATCGCTAGCAGGTGGTCACTTTAAGTTCAGTGAATGTGACACCACCCCTACAAGGATGACGGTTCGTCTTGCTACAGGCGCATCCGTAACCGTCATGAAGCGTATAGTGAAGATCCACTATACGCTAGAGGATACTCAATATGACGATGACTTTATCGTATTGGATTTGGATGACAAATTTGATGTCATCCTTGGAATGCCGTGGCTCAGAAGGTACGAACCACGGGTAAACTGGCAACATCGAACAGTAACGATGCCTGCCGCTTGTTCATCAGATGGCCATCTGATGAACGTTTTGGAGAGTCCACAAGCGTGTGGATGTACTACGAGTGAGTGCGATGGCCTCACTTGTGGTACGGTCGTTAGTACGACTGCACAAAACCTTAGTGTACCAAACGGTTACACTTCGGAGCAAAGTTCCGGCGGCTGTGAGGAAACACAGGCTGCGCCGAAGGTCCACCACTCGAATAAGTCGGGTGGACTGGGACAAAGATGTATCCCTAGCGGGGAACATCTAGAAGAGAAACAATCGATCGCTCAGGTTAAGCGAAACGATAATCCTAGATCGACTGGAGAGTCTTTCGTAGAGGATCTCGCTGTGGTTGCGCAACCCCAGCTAGAGGAAGTAAAGGGAATAAGTCCCAAGATTACAAATACGGCGGAAATAAGTTCCCCGAAACCCGCGGGAATAAGTCCCCGGGAAGCCGAAGGAATAAGTCCTTCGAAGCCTGAGGGAATAAGTCCCCAGGAAATGACAGAGACATTGAATGTCATAGTCAATAACGGATCAAGTGTAGGCGCTTATACACTTGATCTGATTGCGCCTCCGAAGTTGACTTCGGAGATCACTCAGTTGCCAACGCTCGAACATAAAAGGTTCTTGCGTGATCTGCGTAGTGGCAAAGTCAAGCAGATCTGCGTACTCGTCGCTGACGACGAGTGTGTAACCGACATAAGGTCAGCAACAGTGTTTACTGAGAACGAGAGAGTTCTCAGTAGTTCATCTATGGACGAGAGTGTCCTAGATGAAAAGACACGAATTGAGCGATATGACTCCCAATCGTGGGAATCGCTCAAGACAAATCCTCTCTATGAAGATTTTGTTGAATTCAAGGATGTATTCCCTGAAACTGTTCCGTGCGAATTACCGAAGGATAAAGGTATTCGACACGAGGTCAAGCTTAAACCAGGCTCGAAGTAATGTGTCATGAAGCAGTGGCCACTGCCTCGTGAACAAGTACTTGCGATCGACAAGTTCTTTGCCGATCGTTTAGCTGCGGGCCATGTGAGGGAATCAACTTCCGCACATAGCTCTCCGACCTTCTGTGTGCGAAAAGCAACAGGAGGGTGGCGGATAGTGCACGCGTTCAACAAATTGAACGCTGCAACGGTACCGGCTCAGACGCCGATACCGAGGAAGGACGTAATCATTGATGGTATGTCAAAGATTACCATCTTTTCGTCCATGGATTTGATGGATGGCTTCTATCAAATCCTTATGCGGGAACGGGATATACCCTATACCGCAGTTAGCACGCCTAGCGGCATGCTCTGGGAATGGCTAGTAATGCCACAAGGGCTCAGTAATGCCCCTGCCACGTTCAACAGGTGTGTTACGAATCTGTTGAGACCAGTACGAGAATTCGCGCCGAGTTATTTCGATGACTTATTCATCCATAGTCGAGCTATGGATGGAAAGTCGGACGTTGAGGTTCACAGGTACCACGTCCGACAGGTTCTTACAATCATGCGAAAGCATCAATTGTATGCAAACCTCAAGAAGTGTATATTTGCAGCAAGCGAAATACCACTTCTTGGGTGCATCGTTGGTAAGAACGGTGTACGTCCTGATCCCGAAAAGATCAAGGCGATCACCGACTGGCCTGTGCCGGTCGATGTCAAAGGTCTTCGAAAATTCCTTGGGCTAGCGGCGTATTTGCATAAGTATTCACGCAATTACGCCGAGATGACTGTGCACCTCTCTCGTTTGTTGAAAAAGAACGAGAGGTGGTTATGGAACGCTGAATGTCAACGCTCCTTTGAGGGTATCAAGCAGAGCTTGATACAATCCCCAGTCCTAGCAATAGCCGATCAGGACAGGCCATTTCATGTGGTCTGTGATGCCAGCGATTTCGCAATCGGCTGTGCATTAATGCAGTACGACCTTGAAGGCGTTGAACGCGTCGTCTGCTATCAGTCGCGTCAGCTGCAACCAGCTGAGCGGAACTATCCAGTGCATGACAAGGAACTCCTTGCCATGAAGTATGCACTCGCGAAGTTCAGAGTCTATCTATTAGGAGATAGACCCTTCGTTGTTTACACTGACCATGCGTCCTTACGCACGGCAGTGAACAGCCCGCACCTTTCACAACGAATGGCGCGGTGGTTGTCATTCTTTGCAGAATACAACTTTACGGTCGAGTACAAACCAGGACGACTTAATGTCGTCGCTGATGCACTCTCACGTCGTCCCGACTTTGAAACAGTCGCGAAACCCAACAGTGAGACAGTCACTGTTGCGGTTATGACGTCCTCAGTTCCATCTACAACGTTGTATGATGATGTGAGGCGGGCATACGCCCAAGATGGTGAGATAGTGAAGTTGTTGTCACATCTCTCCCAACCATCTCGAGAATCGTTGAAACGATTGTCGTCTGCGTATCGATCTGCATCAGATCGATACACTACTCGTAACGGTTTACTGTACTATACAGCCGTTTCTGGTGACACACCACGTGTTGTCATTCCAGATGATACTGATCTGCGTTTGCGGATCATGTTCGAGTATCACGATGCTCCTATAGGAGGACATCGTGGCCGAGAGAAAACATATCTCACGGTAAGTCGAGACTTTTACTGGCCCCGCCAGTATCAGTTTGTGCGAAAGTATGTTCGCGCATGCGAAGTCTGCCAACGAGTGAAGTCAAGTCCTTCACTGCGTGCACCTTTACAGCCTCTACCGGTTCCGGCTGAGTGCTGGGAATCCATCTCAATGGATTTCGTCTTCGGGTTACCCAAAGACGCACGCGGGAATACGGGTATTCTCGTATTTGTTGACAGATTCAGCAAAATGGTACACCTTGTGGCTGTACCAGAGACAATCACGGCAAGTGGCTGTGCTTGTGTCTTTATTGACACCATCTTCCGACTTCATGGGTTGCCCCGTGAACTCGTATCAGACAGAGATCCACGATTCACTGCTGATTTCTGGCGTTCCGTGTTCAAATCACTCGGAACGCGCTTGAAGATGTCAACATCTGATCATCCAGAGTCAGATGGTCAGACGGAACGTGCCAATCGTGTCCTTGAAGAGATACTTCGAGGATACGTACACTCCTTTAAGAGTTGGAGTGAGTTTTTGCCGATGGTAGAGTTTGCCATCAACAACTCGGTGCATGCGTCCACGACACATACACCGTTTTACGTGAATGGCTTGCGCCATCCGCGTGTACCCACCTTACTAGAGTGTAACTCTGGTTTAAGGGGGGAGGGACTCGCGCGAGCAAAAACCGATTTGGTTCACGCTCATCACGCTCTGACGAAGAAGTCATTGCGTTTGATGCCGATATCGATAACATCGATATCGAAGAAGATGATGCCAGTGAGAGTGCGGAAGCCCTCACTGAAGACAATGATCCCAGTGAGAGTGCGGAAGCCCTCACTGAAGAAAAGGTTGTTGTCGCTGCAGTGCGCTCACAGCACACTGAAGCTAACGAGTCATCAGATGAGTTCATACTGGCTCGTGAAACGGTAGTCCGTTTTGTGCAAGACTCCATCGCCGAAGCGGTGGATAAGCAAAAAGCAAAACGCTGACAAGAATGGAAGGGCAAACACTCTTTTATTTAATAAAGGTGACTTAGTCCTACTGTCTACGGTTAATCTACCAAAACATGTAGTGACTAACTTGGGTAGCAGTAAACTACTACCCAAGTACATTGGCCCATTTCGTGTATTGCACCGCCTAGGCAATGCATACACGATCGAGTTACCACGTAAGATGCGAACGCATCCCACGTTTTACGTTGGTCGGCTTAAGCCGTACCATCAGTACGCTGCTTCTTCCGATGAAGAACGCCCTTGCGCTCAAGCATCTCGCAGAGAGCCTTGTGCTCCCGATGGTGGGCATCAACAAGGGTCTGAAGAGCAGTTATCTCAGCCCGAGACCGATCAACAATCCCACGAGCTACCCTTAGCTCGTCACGAAAGATGTCAGAGATCTCTCGTTCTCAAGCTGAGCAAAGGCAAACTCAGCTCGATGCTTCGAGGCAGTGTCCACCATCTGGAGACGCCTATTCCGCTCATGCTCGAGATCGTCGCGTAACCCTTGCGTTACGCGATCAAAGAAGCTCTCGGGAACACACCGATCCACATGATCGTGTGGAGAGCGTCTTTCCTCCTCCTCCACCTCCATTAGAGGACTCTCGCGGTGGCCAGCGCTATCTAGTAGAGCAGCTGTTGAACCACCGCGACGTGAACGGACGTCGGACGAGTTACCTCGTCCGGTGGCGCGACTATCCCCCGTCCTGGGATTCTTGGGAGCCCCGCTCCCAATTGATGGTTGACGTACTGGGTCTGGTCGAGCAGTACGACGCGACACATCCTGTGCCGCAGAAGGACCGCCGGAGAAAGTCTTCCCGGCACGGTCGTAAAGGGATTTCAGGTTGTCAATCCCTTCGTACATCTCAGTAGAGACACGTACGCGCCACCACGGGCTGGTAAGGAGGTAAGCCTCCTTAGGTGCTCGTGCAGAGTTGTTCACACAACATGGGCACGAGTCTCCCCAAGAGAGGCAGGGTAATCCTTTCTCCCTTGACAGACGATGCAGCTTATAGCGTGCACCTGTCGGGGTTCGCTTTTCAAACTTATCACGAGCTTTGATAAGTTTGTCGTTCCAAGCGTCACGACCTACATCCTCGAGATTATGGATGTAGGCGTTCCACGCCTGAAGTAGTGAGGGACCATCACGTTTGTGATTCCCACTGTACCATCGATGTCTAAAGAAAGCATCGATGAAGAACTCATGTTCAGCGCGATAGTCTTTCGCGCTGGGGTCAAGGTGATGGATCCTTGACGAATCGAACAATCGTGTTCGATAACGATCACTCGTCGTCGCCGACAAGTGATCCATGACGGATTTAGGGAGGCATCCATGCCTTCTTTTCTGGAGCGAGACGCAACACATTGCGGTCCCGCTCTTCCTGCGACGTGCCGACAGAAGTACTGGCACCTCGCTGTGAAGTGGTGTCCATTGGAGAAACGACACCACTATTGGCGCCCGAGTCTCGCGACCTCGAGCGCCTTCGCTTCGGCGATGGTTCATCTGACTCATCAGATGAACCAAAGATGCTGCGACGCAAAGCATCGTCCATGCCACGCTTGGCAGGCGGCTTGGATTCAATTGCCGTCGATACGGATCCGTCATCCGTATCAGGAGAGTACGAGACACCGAGCTCGTACTCTGTGAAGACACGAGTGTCTTCATGACCAGCGCCTGCATCACCAGGTGATACAGGCTGAGTCGATTCAGCAACCGATGGGACATCAGTTGCTGTAGTTTCTGCTTCGGCGTCCGCACAGAGACGTGCAGACGCGCTCTCGGCGGCCTTGCTCGCGCATCGCATGGGCTTGTTTACCATGCGATGAGATGTTGGAAAGTGGACGCGGACCAACAAGTGCAAACCCCGTCCCAAATGATTTGGGACGAGTATCCATTTAGTCAATCAGTCACTAAAGTGACTGATGGTTAAGGGGGGTGATGTAACGGGGTGAATCGTTACATAACAATTTATAAGAAATTGTTAATAGAATATAACTATAAGAGTTATATTCTCAGAATATTGTCATAAGGACAATATTCTGTAGCACTTCCAAGTAGTTCCTAATTGGTTGATATAGGCCATTATATCAACCAACGAAGACGCGCCACGACAGACGCACGCAATGAGTGGTGAGCAGATAACTGATTTACACATTTGTATTTAGACATAGTTAGATGAAGATAAATAGTGATTTATTGCAGACATTAACTATTATAAATACAGTTCTACTTTTTACTCTAACCGAGTACTCGCTTCTTCTTACCGTCTTCCTCTGCACGTACGAGTGTACGTGAAGTTACGAGGCACCGCCTTATTCTGTTATCAGAATAAGTAGCTTGTACTGTCACCAGTACAAGCTTCAGGGTGCCCCGTTACAGAGCGCGCTTGGCAAAAGTGATACATACGTGCATATGTACCAAATAAGATGAGGGGAGTAAGCTGAAGAGCTCGCCCTATGATATTAGTAATTTTGTCCATAAAACTGATTAAAATCTGTTTATTCCCGTGCCCTACGCTCTATCAGTAATAACTACACCTTCGGGCTCGCAACAATACAATTGTAAAGTCCTACCTAGCAAAACGTGTACGTGACACTCGCGTGACGAGAAGACCGTCAAACTCTGGCTAGCACCTTACACACACTTTCTATTAGATTCTCCAATCTGGGCCGTAGTATTTGCCTACTTTCGTTTGAGAGTGAATCCATTATTGGGGCCGGTCAGTGTATTCCCATCATGATCTCCCCCTTAGTTTGCCCGCGCCAGAGTTTTTGTCGTACGGCTGATCACATTTTTCATTCGATGTCATAGGCACTTGGACTAGCCACCATCATTTCACCATTTTTTCGTATCGTCTTGTTCTTGCGTTCATCTTGGCGACACTTGAAGTCCATCATTGCCTTAATGACTTTTAGCAGTACCTTGCGCCATCTGCATTAGGAGCTATCGTTGCTTCAGCAGTGGCTGCTCTGCAACAAAATGGGTATGGCAATCAGTACTACTTCCCGCATGCTACATCAACCTTAGCTTACATCTGTTGGTATCGCCAACAATGGTGAAGAGCTGATGATTTGCAATTTTAAAATTTGGTCGACAGTTCCTTTTGTTGTGCTTGCGTGGCGCTATGATCTCATATCACCTCGGACACTTTTGTGTACAAGAATGAGTTCGATGCACAATTCAGCCCAAATATTTGGTCGGAATTCTTATCCGAAATATCCGGTCTGAGCTCTGGCACAGGAGCCACAGCTATAAAAGAGCGAGCAAATTATTTGTGGCACAATCCGCTTGTTTGTGGCATTTCCTCTTTCGCCATCATGGGCAGCGACAATAAGCGTCTGCACGAAGACGACGACGACGACGGCAATGAGCGTGAAGAGGGGGTCAACGTCCAGCCGCTGGATGTGCTGTGCATGGAGCAGGTGCTGGAGTCCATGGGAGCCGACAAGTTTGAGCCGCGTGTTGTCGCGCAGCTGCTGGAGTTCGTGCACCGTACGGATTCATCCTGTTTACTATCAGTACTGCAAAAATTGTGGAGTAAATAAGACTGAGATGTTTCGAAATTATGGGTTATGCAGGATATGTGACGGAAATCCTTGTGGACGCCCAGGAGTATTCTATGTTTGCAGACAAGAAGGTAGAGCCAGCACAAAATGATTGTGGAACCAAACCAGAAAAAAAAGTTGGACCGCTGCCCGTCTTATCGTAAACTTGTTATGGACGTAGACTATTGATCCAGACGATATTCGGCTGGCAATTGCCTCGAGACTGAATCACCACTACGCTCAAGTGCCGCCTCGGGAGGTGAGCTACATATTGTTCTATGCCCGTTTGAGTTACTGGGTCCCTTGCTTGATACTTACTCGAGTGGTCGATTTGTCTTAGCTGATGATGGAATTGGCAGACAAGCGCAATGCTATTCCGCTACCGCCAATTTCGAACGAGTACGGCGTGCGTCTTCCCCCGCTCCAGTACCAACTGGTCACGAAGGAGAGCGACCGGCAAGATCCGGTGCGTTCGTTGTTTTGACAGGTCTTTGCTGGTATCTGGCCGATCTGACTCTACTGCTATTGTGTGTTGCAGTTGCTACACAAGGTGGCAAATACGCCTCGTGCCGGAGATGCCACAGGATCCAGCACTAGAATTCAAAATGCTGCTCGACCACCGGTGCACCCGCAGGTGGAGGGTTCGCGCAACAAAAAGTTCGCTCGCAGCCCTCTGTCCATTAATTTTCATTCCAAAAGGTAAACGTCGTCTGCTCACGGCAGTTTGCCATGATTGCGCGGCGCTTTGTTGGGTTCTTGCCATGCAAAACGCCTAACGTCATGCATTGAGGGACCATGGGTGGAGATGGTGCACAAGGCAAAAAGCGGACATCGCCAATGTGGCAGCTAACTGACGACTGACCGAACAAAGGTTCAAGCTCGACCCTGCGCGTCGGAGTGTCGCCTTTGCTGCACTACATTATAAGGCGTGGCATTTCGCAAAAGCGGCATGTTTACAAGCGTGTCGTTTTCTTCATACGCGCCGTGGAGCCGTGAGACGTTATTGCATTTGCAAGAATAGAGTACAATTGATGTGTTAAATCTCCAGTACAATACCCGGCTAAGTAAACCGTCGAACGTTCGGTTCGAAACAAAACGGACATGAAGCTGAATGGGATCCGAGCTGGACAAAAGAAGCATTGATGTGCAATACACCGCAACATGCAACGCAGGGTTGACACGCATCATGACGGAAATGCACATAGCGTATCACGAGAAGATATGCATCGCGTTAGCGTTACCTCTCCTTACCTGCAACCTACTAATCAAACAAAAAGACTTTTTTTTGCAGCTAAACGGCCATTTCTTCAACTTTGTCTGAATCGGACAAAAGTTGCGATTGATCGGGCACGTAAATCAAGTGTGCGGTGTAGGGTTGGAGTCACAGGGGGTGGGTATTTCTAGGGTAAGGGTTTGCTTCCTGCCTCCTCGACCCTCGTCATCAGCCAATGGTCCGGAGGTTATCCGACGGTAGCCGCTTTTTTTCCTCCAATAAGCACTTGGGTTGCCCAGCAGCTTCGTCCCTGTCAAACATGATTCACTTGATCTCGCTATGCTGCCGTCATCACCACCCAAAGATCCGCCTCAGTTGGCAATTTCACGCGACTTGCAACAAGCGAGAGAGAGGAAGGGAGCAACTTCCAGTCGTCATGGCGTCCGTTACCCCCGAGAAGAAGCTCGACATGTCGCTGGACGACATCATTGTGCAAGAGCGTGCAAAGACCGACGCGGGGGCGACGTCTGCGGCCACAGACAAGAGCACGTGGGTGGACGACTGACGTGGCTCTGTAGGGAGCGAGGGGTGGAGACTGATGGGTGGGGTACTGCTGCGCTGTAAGCAGGAATCACGCCGAGCACGTCGCAGAGTCAAGTTCGCACCAAGCTGAACACGGCGACGTTGTCCACGGTGTGTATAGTGTATACAGCTGTATACACGAGACAAGTCGACGACTTTTGACTGGTGCTAACGCCTGATTGTTTTTTTGTATACTCCAATACAGACGTGGAGATGGAGTCGTCAACAGCTGTGAACTGTCGCGTGTATGTGGGCAATTTGTCCTGGAGCATCAAGTCGCCGGATCTCAAGGAACACATGGAGACTGCCGGATCGGTGGAGGCCGCGACGGTTCTCGAGTGGAACGGTCGCTCGAAGGTACGCGCGCAAACAGCTGTTTATGTGACCGCAGTGTATGCACTTAATTGCGTGTGGTCCACTTGACACCAAATCGTGCAGGGCTGCGGGGTCGTGACGTACGAGTCGGAGGACGCCGCGAAGAACGCTATTGCCACGCTCAATGACACGGAGCTTGGCGGTCGCAAGATCTTTGTCCGTGAAGATCGCGAGTCGCAGTCGTCGACGGCTGTGAAGCCGAAGCGCGGCTATCGCGTGTATGTTGGCAACTTGTCGTGGACTGTCAAGTGGCAGGAGCTCAAGGACCACATGAAGAAGGTTGGCACCGTGGTGCACGCTGATGGTGCGGCTGTCTTACTGTTGATGTGTCTGCTTCTTTGTACGTTGTGGCGGTGGTAACTGATGAGGTGCTTTTTGTTCCAACTCTAAGTAGTGCTGGAAGAGGCTAACGGTCGCTCAAAGGGATGCGGCCTAGTGGAATACGCTTCCCCAGAGGAAGCTGCCACGGCTATTGCGGAGCTCAACAACACGGAGCTAGAAGGACGACTCATTTTTGTCCGCGAGGACAGAGAACCCGAGGGTGGTAGCATCTCCAAGTTTGCCAAGCGTGCCGCACCTCCACGTGGTGGTGGCGGTGGCGCCAACGGTGGTGGCAATGGTGGTGGCGGCGGTGGCAGCGAGGGTCGTCAGCTTTACGTTGGAAACGTAAGTGTGTGTTGTTTGCAAGAGACTTGGCGATTCTAATCGATGTTATTTTACGCTATGTGTAGCTTCCGTGGGACACCAATTGGCAGCAGCTCAAGGATCTGTTTGCAACTGCAGGTGTGGTGGAGCGTGCCGATATCGCCGAGCACTCGGACGGTCGCTCGCGTGGCTTTGGTATCATTCGATACACGAATGCGGCGGATGCATGGCAAGCGATTGGTAAGTGCCTTGTAGATTCTATGGTCATGATTGCTTGGTGCTAAAGCTTGATCCTGATTATGTTCTGCAGAGCGCTTCAACGGGTTTGAAATAGAAGGCCGGCTGATTGAGGTGCGCCTGGACAAAAGAGAGTAAGCTACTTTTGACGGTGTGCCGGAGGACCCATGGGTATAGGAATTGTGCAAGTTTGTGCGGAATAAGCTAGTTACGTGTGACTGTTTTAAGTACATGCCTGAAATGCAACCTTTATGGCCCCAATGTGCTTTGTTGCCTAGCATCGTTTCTGCAACAAGCCTCGACTTGACTTGACGTTGAGGTTCAAGCTTGAGCTTGTAATGAATACAGTGGTGGTTGGTAATCGGACAAATCTAGATGAGTTTCTGGATGTCCTACGAAACAAGCCTGTGTGCGAGATGACCGCATGGACTGATGATTATCTGCTATCAGCCGAGCCGACCTGGAAAACAGAGGCCACTCAATTCTTTACTCCAGCATTAACATTACGACCATTCATGGGGCGCGACTGCATCCACACCGTCTTGCAAAAGCCATCTACCTCGAACCGGTTCTTACTTATTCGAAAAGGGAAGCCCGCAACCTCACGACGAAGGATGAACGTCCGAATTACACAAACTCTTACAAATTAGTGCTAGAATACATCAGCTAGAAGCCCAACCTTCTGCCTGCCGTCGGGTTCGGACTCAGCCATTTTCTTTGACTACGTGCACAGTCATATTGTTCTCCTATCACAATTTGCTGCATCATTGAGCGATCGTTGTGCAGGTCGTTATTCCGAACAACTGAAAGGTCAGATCAACCGTCGTCAAATGCACTGAAGGAGGTTGCGGAACTACCGACACATTCAATGTAGTACAATAGCGCAGCAAGTGGCTTCAGGCTAAAGTAGCACGTGGCGCAAGGGCTTCTTGCTCTCGTTTGAGTACCGAATCGAGCAGCCACCCAGAGATGCTGCTAATGGGCGTTGGTCGCTCCTGACAGACAGCAATCGATGGAAATCCGATGCAAAAGCCAGCGTCCGCACGCCTTCTCGTGATACTTTTGGTAGGCAGAGTTTTACCCTGGTAATGTTGTGAACGACATGTATCATTATCTGTGGTAGTAACCTGCTGATCGCAGCGTTAAAGGAGGCCAAAAAGCTGCAACATGAAGCCTGCTCTTTACCAAGGTATGACCTGCTAGGAGATTCAACACTAGTGGCGATCGCATCACAACCTGGAAGAACGATGTGAAAACTTAGCTGCAAACAACGAATTACAAGTGCTCCAAATAGATCCTGAGTTGCGATCGTTGTCAAGCCAACGTTTAGCTGTCTTTCAACTCTCGGCAAATTGGGACAGTGCCACGAGATCTGCGACTTGGTTGCTTCCATGCTGACAAGGAGAAAGTCGATTCAGCGACAGAGTTCGTAGGGTTAGAGCGCACCAAACAGCTGACGGTGTTGATGTCACTCTACCGCGGGAACGACCGTCCCATCCCATCCCATCCCGCGTACGCCCAGAAACAACAATACGAAGAGGAAGAAGGACGCGTCGCTCAAGTCGACGATGCTGCTGCCCCTGCACAAGCTCAGCAAGCGCTACACGTGGGTGCCGTACCGTCGACTGCGTCACGGCGCAGTCATCGGCGTGCTCGTGGCTCTCGTGCTCCTGTTCCTGCTCTTCTCTCGGTCGTCCCTCCCGCCGTCTCCAGAGATCGTCCACCAGTCACCAGACGTCGGTCCAAAGCATCCCGCGGACATCGCAGTGGGACCCGAAGCCGACAGAGGCGACGACCAGAACGGAGAAGGAGTCGAAGAAATGGCTGCAGAACCTGGGGACGTGACGATGGACGCTGGAGACGAGTTGAAGCTGTCCGAGACCACGTCAAATGTGCCGCTAGGGCTGCGACTGCTGCTGCCGCTGGTTGCGGGCTTTTGCTTTGGGTTTTTGGGATCTGTACCCATTGCTGGACCCACGTCAGCGATGGTACTCAAGTTGGGTATACAGGGGAAGTATACGGCGGGACTGACAATTGCAGTGGGTGGAGCCATAGCCGAAGCGGTACGAGAGAGAGAGAGAAAGTGTGTTGCATAGATGTGGCTGATGGCTGAGTGACTGACGGACTACTCCAATTGCTGGTGTGTTTATTGCTACTGTCGGTATTTTGCTGTTTATTGTTGTTGCTGGTGTGGTGCAGACCTACGCTGGCGTCGCGTTCTGGGGGTTTGGCAGCTTTTTGGCTGGTGCCAAGTTCTTACTGCCAGTGTCCAAGTATGTGAATGTGGCTGGGGAATAAATGAGGGACGAAAACTGACTGCAGGTGAACTAACGTTGTGGTGATGATTGCAGGGTGCTTGGAGCGATCATGTTCACACTGATTGGGTTGATGTTTCTAAAGGCGGATATGAAGCCGTCACTTGACCCGGATGTCGAAGCTTCTCATGGTAAAGCAGTGCGAAGACCACACGGAGAGGTTTTTAAAAACGTCCTGATGGGACTTACAATGTCTGGGATCAACCCGGCGTTGCTTGCGTCTTATACTGGCGCTATTGCATCAGGTACTTGCGATGTTGTGTGGAATACGCATCACCGGGTTTTGAGCTGAATGGTCTGTTGTGTGGTTACGGATATTGCAGTGTACGGCACTGGCATGCTTGAGTTCACGCTGGCCCTGGCCGTCGTATTTGCCATCGGCGTATACTGTGGTGTTTCAACATGGTTTTACTTGCTGCTTTCCCTCTTGAAAAAGTACAAGCAGGTTCGTAAACTGTTGCTGCTGCTGCTGATGTTGTTTTTGCAGACGGCTAACATGGATCGTGTGTGTATTGCTGTTTCGATAGCGCCTGAACAACCACACCATTGACTCAATAATGCGTGGTTTGGGCTGTTTTCTGCTCGCAATTGGTCTCTTTTGCGCGAAGTCATCGTTGGATTACTTTTTGTTGACCCCACCGGCTGATGCCAAGGAGACGTGACCTTGTCGACGTAATGCTGAGGAGAGCGTCGATAGTCCAGATCGGCAACTAGTGGGCGTGTAAAGAATGTATTTGCAGATACGAGAGATTCCAACAGCAGCACTAAACAGTTCTAGCAAGTAAGCTATACCCAGGTACACACTCCTTGATCGTGTCAACAGTTCAAACGTCACGCAAGCCCGGACAGAAAACAAGCTTCAAGACTCTATCGCGAATATCAAGCAGGCCGTTTCTACGAGGCACTATGGGATGCGGTCAGTACATGTTAGAAGGGGTTCTGAATGCTGGTACGTCGAACCTTCGGTGCCAGAGAAGTTACCGGACCATCAATACCTTCTGCCCTCAATCTGGATTCGTGTAGTACCTGTGCTTAGCAACCAATGAGCAGAGCTTTTGCATGTGTGTAACAGGTCCAGATACTGAGAACTTGGGCCCGGTTCTGCTCGTGTCTCGTCCGCAGTTCGAGAGCTGATGAGGTCGATGTGACAGTTTATCGTGATCGAATTATCGGCTGATTGATAGCTCTCACTGTGATGCTGACGCCTGCTCAGAGTGAGACCCTTGCCTTGACTGTCTAGGTTAAACAGATCAAGGTATTCGTAGTAGCAGTCCACGTGATGGCTCAAGTGAAGCTGTCAGATTCTGGCTCGAGGTGAAAGACTGGGGTGACGGACAGAAGAGCAAGAACGGGATGGACCCCATCAAGGGCGACCTCGACCAGGATGTCGCGTTTGTTGTGACTTCTGATTAGCTACAAACGGGAACTTTGACTGATACTGCAGCTTTGACTTCACTGTCTTCGCCTGAAAACGTGAGGGAAATCCAGACAACTGCATGCGAGCCATGAGAAAGAGTTGAGACAGGAGTCGAGAGGGTACTCAGGTTTCTCCAGTGCTTTCGCGAGATGTACGTCCTTTGGCCGCGCTTTTACTGGAGGCTGAAGCAGGATCTGAGGTGCAAGTGTGGCGTTGTCTCAAGCGTGGAATGCCAATGAAGTGGCAAGAGATGCTTTCATCTTATGGGACCAATTACGACACGTTGGACACAATGAAGCGCTGCTTCTCTCGTATGAGAAAGATGTACGAGCGAACAAGCAAGCCAGCAGCTTTGCACGTAGGTCGTACGACGTTGCACGTACACGATGTATTCCGAGTGAAATGCCGCAGCCGAGCCACAATACAGCACGCAGTGCGCGCCGTCATTGGGACCTGGTCTTGAAATCCAGCCACGACGACGAAGTGCTGGTCGATGACAATGGTCTCGTGAACATCGCACTCACTAAAACAGGCCAAACAAAGAAACAGGAGCTGGACCTCGGAACGGAGCCCCATTGCTGACGGACATTCGACCGAATGGTTAAAACCGGTCGATTGGAAATGATGGACTCGTCCGAGGCAGTACAACTCACGGACTTCAACTCTAGCAGCCGCCTGCGTATATGGGATCGCATGATGGAAGAAGAAAAAGTGATGAACCACACGACATCATTGGTCGCTGGTGTCGTCATCTCACCACTCCACGATTTCAAATGGTGGTTTGTCAAGTAAGTAAGGTGTCGTGTTGTCCAGAGGAAGTGTCGTGGACAGAAAGCTGGGGAAACGTCAGCCGGGAAGCTAACCAGGCCCAAAGGGTCTCAATTAGACCAGAATTGAATGGACTACCACCAGAAGACGTCAGTGACGCTCGAGACACTTCGGGAATATCGTCGACATTTGCTGCCATGTCGCTATCGATAGCACCACCGCGAAATTCTAGATGACACGGCGCCCCAACTGACAAAAACGGGACCACTTTAGTCCCCAGATGTGCTGCTATGCCTGCGGCATCCCGGCAAATTATCCGTCGCAACGCAGCTCGGCTGCGGGCGTTTCCATCGTGCACGCGTCGGAAACGAGCACGGTGTATGGCACGGTGAATGATGCGGATCTCTCGATCAAATTCTGAACGTTGCCGCTGTAGTCGCTTTGCACACCGTTTACTGAGACTATCTCACTTCCGATTGATGTGGCGTCTTGCAAGGGGCCAAAGATAGACGCATACGATCTTCAGGCTTGCTTAAGTGCTGATAGAGGTGTTGCTCGCAGCCTATCTTGACACATCAAGGAGGGTTACAGCGACGGTGTCGATGCAATGAAGGAATGAGTCTGGGTTTGTAACATTTGACAATGCCACTGCTGCAAGTTTACTTCAGCTTGTACTCGTCACATTCTGCAGCAGCTTGATGGCGCGTTTCTTGCGAAAAAGATGTCAACCATCACAGGAAGGATGCGGTCAGATGCAGCCACCAGCTCAATGTCGACTCGCATGAGACGATGTACTGTTAACCACACGAAACAAGCCAGTTCGGCGCAAGCCTACACGTGATCATCTGCTGGAAAGCGACACGAAAACGTGCAGCTAAAGGTTGTCGCCAGCAATCTGTATCATGCCGTAGAACATCTAGCATGACGCTTGTAGTAGAGGTTCTCAATTGCGACCTTCCGGTGCAGCTCACTCTGTTCCAGGCACGTATCGGCGCGTCAGTAAAAAACAAACAGTTCCCGCAGACGAGAAAAAGAGTCGTGATTGACGATGCATACTCGTACGGCAAGTTTGACACCTCGTTTCTGCCTTCTCACGCCGTAGATATCGAGTGCAGGAACTACGAATAGTAGGCATCGGGGCCGCTGCTGCTAGCGAGTGGGCGACGACGAACACTCTCCAGATTAAACTTATCGACAAAGCTCTTGAGTCGAGTATTGAAGAGGCTGCAGCGAATTGGCATCTCCAGCTCGTAGAACGGGTTCTGTGCACCAAGTAAACAAGTCGTGAGCAAACCGACATTCCCTCCATCTAGTGACCAAATGACTGTATTTCGAGGTGGATGACCGTAGTGTATACCTTGAGCACGTAATCGACGTATAACTCGTAGACAGTCTGAAGCGTCACGTCGACACTGGGCGTCCCTAGTGCTGCGGTGAGGAAGAATTTCGTGCCCGTGGGCGTCTGTAGACACTGCAGACGGAAGGTGCCCGTCTCGAGACTGTCGATGCCGCCCGAGTTAGTGGGCGCTGCCAGGGCTGCAATAGCATGCATGCTGTGGAAGGTGGAGCCCAGACGGAGGTGGTCATTCGAGCTGAGCTTCGGTGCCGCGGGGCTCAAGTCTTGCTGGTAGATGAGCCCCCCAGCCTTGTTGATGATGTACAGCGAGTGCAGCATTGTACGAATGCGACGATTCGCACTGATTACGATAGAAATCGATTAGAAATGACTACCGCAGTGGCGTCGTGTTTTGATTGCGAAAACTAAAGGCAAATGCTAACCGGCTGGGTTCTTTTTTATACGGCTGCGTCATTCGTTGAGGTGTAGGGTAAACCTGTCGTCATTTCATACGCATATTGTTGAATATCGTCGAATTACCCATTTGGTTTTATGATCGACTTTGGATGACCCCCTCGTTGAAAGGGGTTTCTCGCGACAGCTCTCGCGTAAGGAGGCGAGACAGACAACTCAGACGCAACAAAAATGACAGAATCCACGCCTCTGTTTACTTATTTTCTTTGTCTCGCAATATGGTCATCGAACACAATTACTTCCTGTTTGAGGATGTGTTGGTGTTCTAGTCTTTGTGCCCACTCCCGACACTAGTAGGGGCTCTTCGCGAGATCGCAAACACCAAAGTTTTCATATTTCCGACTCAACTACGATTCTAACCTCTGCGCCCGAGTTTACTATGCGAGTTCGCTGCTTGTTTAAACAACTGCATCAATTCAAACAGTGTAAATATCTCGGCGATGGCAATTGCAGTCAAATTACGTAAGAACGCGCCGCTCACAATATTTCGAGGCGAGATATACCGCTTCACATGAGCACGATCGCGCGGATGCATTATGATGGACCTATTGACGATGCAGTCTTGATGGCGTCAAAAAGCGACATCTTTCTCAGTATGGTACGCTTACAGAAGAACGAAGTTTTGGTAGGGTATTAGCCTGTTTTGCACCGATATCGTCATTTTGAACGGGCGTGTGAGTAAATAATGGTAGTAAATTGAGCATGTGGGATATACTGTTGACGAAGTTGGGCGAACTTTTGAGTTACTTCTGAGATCTTTTCAGAATGACCCAGCCGAATAAAAATGAACCCAGCCGTTTAGCATTTGCTAAATTAAACAGTCGGAGTTGCGTGTCGGAGATAAGCCATGATAAGATGCTAACGCATTGCGTCACATTAAATTAGTGTAGACGTGCTGAAGCAGAAGCTACTATGCCCATTCTTATACTTGCACACAATTTCTTGTTTGTTGAGCTGCACATCGTCTACTTGCTTGCAAATGCCACCACCAAAAGCCAGATACGCTGCATTGACGGACTCTAGCGCTCGCTATGTCAAAGGACGACTTCATTGAGTGTACTTGGTTGAGGCTGGTAGTAGTAGCCACACGTTACAACTCGCACGACCCGGTACAAAACGAGGATGCCGTAGCTTTGAGGTGATGCTTGTTTATTGCGTGTGACTGTTTGTAGGCGAAGCTGGGCCTCCTGAGGTGCGCAGTCAGACACTCGAGCTACGGCTCTGCATCGTCGGTACATCGCTAAAGCAGGCTCTCACTGCAGCGTATGCTTTTCCGAACGAGTCTGCGGCAATGCCCACCATCGCAACACCTAATGGCGTCTCGATCAGCATGGCTGCGATCGCTACGGCACAGTAGTGGCACTGGCACTATCGAGCCAACTCCACTAAAGTCACTGACACCTTTGTGCTTACCAGCAGGTACTGACACCACGCGGACTTTTACAATCGGAACTGGTTGCTTGTCAAATGAGCTTTGTAACCCCGCAGCGATTGTCACGTGCAACAAAGCGACCTGACCGGCTGCACTTCCACGTCACCAGTTCTCTTTGCGGCACGCTTGGTGCGAGGGCATCTGGTGCTGGACCAATTCCATCTGAAACGACAACGCCTCCTTGTCACCGGGATCGATATACAGGCGGGTCTGGCTGCACCTTTGACCTTAAGCACAGTTAGTCAAATGTGGCAAAACAAACCGTAGCTAGGTACGTAGAGGAATGCGCCAGCTGTAGCGTAGGTCCGTGACTACAGATCCAACACTACCAACGATGCGCAGGCCTTGCTTGGTCTCTCGACCAAATGAAGCAGCCAACGGCATTGCTGGAAGCGTTCACTGGGCTACGTTCGTCGTGTCAGTGCGACAACAGCGGCGGACGCAAGATCAATAATTACAGAGTCTTGCGAGCTGAGCCCTGCTGTTTTACAGTAGCAAGCGTTGGCACTATGACCGATGCGATGCGAGTTTCACGACCTGCATACGCCACGCTGCGACAATCACGTCCACGTGAGTGAACCAGTTACAAAGTGTTGGAGGTGTGTCTACATAATCGATCGGCTACACAGACATCTCAAAGACGTACTCTGATCGTAGCCAGAGCGACTCCGGACTTGCCAAGTGCGACTTTTTATGTCGAGCACGAATCCCGACCCCAAAACGCAATGCAATCGAATGCTGTCGTGCTGTCACATGCGACAAGCCATTCGACCGCGAGGGTTCTTCAAACCTTTGTCACTTGCGAGGCGACCGACATGCCAAGGCGAGGGAGCCACTCGTTTTCGCTCGAGCTCTTTTATCCAATCGGTATGTGCCGTGAGACCTCCCGTGTGCTGTGATTGGTGGCTTTTTGCATACGGCAAGTTGTGTGGTGGTGGCGAAGCCAGCCAGCCAGAGCCGCCCAGCCCCCTGAATCATTTAGGATTTTCCTTTGTTTCGCCGAAGACTTCCCCCTCCCTTCCTGTCGAAACCCGAACGATGAGCGTCCTTTCCACGTACAAGCCGGTCGCCACGTCGGAGAAGAAGAGCGGCGTGACGTCGTTCCTGCTGGACTTGGCCGCTGGCGGCGTCGCTGGCGGGATCTCCAAGACCGTCGTGGCCCCCATTGAACGTGTGAAGCTGCTGCTGCAAGTGCAGGCTGCTTCGACGCAGATCAAGCCGGAGGACCAGTACAAGGGCATTGTGGACTGCTTCGTGCGCGTGTCCAAGGAGCAGGGCGTGAACTCGTTGTGGCGTGGCAACTTGGCCAATGTCATCCGGTACTTCCCCACCCAGGCGCTGAACTTTGCCTTCAAGGACAAGTTCAAGAAGCTCTTTATGGACGGCGTGAGCAAGGACCAGTTCTGGCGCTTCTTCATGGGCAACTTGGCCTCGGGTGGTGCTGCAGGTGCCACGTCGCTGCTGTTCGTCTACCCGCTGGACTTTGCGCGTACGCGTCTTGGCGCTGACGTGGGCAAGGGCAAGTCCCGTCAATACACGGGCCTGGCCAACTGCCTCACGACGATCTACAAGTCGGACGGTCTTTCGGGCTTGTACCGCGGCTTTGGTGTCTCTGTCGGCGGTATCATTGTGTACCGTGCCGCCTTCTTCGGTGGCTACGACACGCTCCGTGACGTCGCGTTGAAGGACCCCAAGAACGCCCCGGTGTGGCAAAAGTGGATGGTCGCCCAGACGGTCACGTCGCTGGCTGGTATGATCTCGTACCCCTTTGACACTGTGCGTCGTCGCATGATGATGCAGGCGGGTCGCAAGGACATCCTGTACACGTCCACAATGGACTGTGCCGTGAAGATTCTCAAGAACGAGGGCTCGGGTGCCTTTTTCAAGGGCGCGGGCTCCAACATCCTGCGTGGCACGGGCGGTGCCATCGTCTTGGTGCTGTACGACGAGTTCAAGAAGCTTGTCCAGTAAGTGACTCGTTCGTCTGACCTGGTGGGCTGACTCGATCAGATTGCAAGCTCAAGGAGATCTATACTTGTTGTGAGACATGGCAAGGTTGTTTGACATAGACAGATATATTCCGCACATCGAGGAAGGGAGTTTGAATGAATACCTTGTCATTTGCTCTTTCTTTGGACGACACGTGTGAATCGTCCATTCATTCTATCACTTCTGGTCAGGGAGATGGGCTGGTAGGATGGGAGGAACACCTAAAGTACGAGCTGCTGGAGTGGTCAATCGCTGTGGCTCCTCTATGATGCAGAGGGTGCGTAATGCGTCTGTCGTGGGAGTGCCAGGCGACCAGAGCAAGGCCGTTATTGCAGTCACAGTCCGAACTGTTGCGTCGTGTGCTTGCAGGGCTGCTTGAGCGTACCCTCGGCGCTTTTGCGGGTGATGCTGCAGACCCTATTGTCTTTCGTGTACAATGACGGTCAGATATCCATGATCTGCGCCATGCGTGTGAAGCCACGCATTCGTAGGAAGCTAAAGACGCTCAGCTTCCCTCTCCCTCGTACGACTGATTGAGTTGAGATGAGTTGAGACTTGGGGCGATGGAACAGTCACGACAGACAAGTCGTCTCAGCATTGCTATTGAGCTATCGCGACGTTTTACGCAAGGGACAGCTGTAGAGCTTCCTGTCGTTCGTTTGTAGCACGCAGGTATCCGTTGCAAACGAGCGATACTGAGTTTCATTTCTGTGCGTGGCCGGGTTCACTCCACGTATTGCGAGTGCCGTCCCTCTTGCGGCCGCCCTCACTACTTAAAAAGCACATATTAGAGCACCCCACGTGGCCCGCCAGATCTTCTAGTATGTGGATGGCTTGTGTAGCTTTAGACAGCTACCGGCGTTCCAGTATGCGCGAGTTTTTAGTCAGCAAGAACTGGTAAAAAGCTCGAGGTGCTAGTAACAAGTGGGTGTGAACCCTGACACGCTCCTTGATTCGGGTTTGATGAATACCGTCGGACAAGCCCAGCAAGTGTAATTGTTTGGCACTAATTGCGATCCAGCACTACGATATTCGAATCGAAAACAATTGTTGGTCATGTCATAAATATTCGTGTCCACCTTCTGGATGGCAAGTGCAAGCCACATATCGCGATCACAAAGGCAAATATGCGGCACCACCACGACACTGCTAGTCGCCGGCATGAAACACAAGGTCGAGCTGCACGAGTGCCAAAGAATGGCCCGTACGTAGACAAAACTCGGATATCCTGATCTTCCAGGTTACAAAACTGAGCTGTTGCGGTGCAAGCTCTCAGATCGAACAGCTTACTAAACGCCCATAGTGCTATCCCTAGAGGTCCTTGATCCGGCATCTGAAACCCCAGACTTCGCATACGGATCTCCAAACGCTATCGTTTCCGTGCGTTGGCCGCTTTGCTACGCCAAAGATTTAGTGAAAGACGACGGAATAAGGTTAGTTGAAAGGTATTCGGATCTTTTGGATTGATCCCTTTGGAGGCACGTGTTTTATCGCATCGCACAGATACAATAATGTCCATCTTTTCCGTTCCACCATTTTAGCGGTTTTACAGCAAGAAATCATCTGATGAAACTATTTTATTCTACAATGTTGCGATTTTCTCGCAGCACGATTTGGGATGCAACTTGCACACTGCTCGACGGTTTTAATCGGGCGTGCGAATTGTACTTTGCGTCAACTGCTTTCACTATCATCAACTATTGGCCCCAACGATTGTGCCTCAATAGTAGGACCTCGTCCGTGCTGGCTCCTACCAGGTTCGGTCCTCTTTCTCACGTTACTATCATCGCCAAGCATGTTTCTTTCTCGCCGACCACATCATTTCAGTTTGCGCAAAGAAGCGGCAGTGCAGCAGCCCCTGCAAGTTTTTGTGATGAGAGCAACTTCCTCTCAGGCAGACGTTAAAGTGTCGGATGTCATCAGTTTTATGTGCGATTGCGGTAAGTCCGTCCGTCCGTCAGTCGGTCAGTGGGTCACTCGTTTGTTTTTACTACTCATGGCACTGCATGAGTAGAGGAAGAATCGTAGGCAGGAAAAAGGTCGCTCCATGTGAGCGATCAATGAATCAATTGCTCGATCGGTCCACTCAATAAGACGCCAAAGCCGAGCGACAAGAATACGAAATAACACCGGTACCCACGGTACTTTCCAGCGATTGCCCTTTCTACCCAGTGACTGACTATGCAAGAAGAGCCGCTTGCGTCGTCTCGTGGACGCTGGCTTGCTCGTCGCCGCGTGTCACGACTGGAGAGCGGGAATAGCCGGGACGAGACCAGCTCACCGCTCTCTGCGCTGACCCAACTACTGAGTTTTCGCTCCCGTGCGAGCATGACCGACGCGCGCGTCGTGGCCATCGCCCGGGCGACGTCCGTGGACGGTGATGACCGCGAAGAGACTGTGGACGGCGGGCTCCGCTTCATCCCGGCCTGTGCGCGCGACCGCATCAAGTACACAGGGCGACTGCTCCACCACGGGGCGCAGTGTGCCCGCAAGACCAAGATCAATACGGTGCAGTTTGACTGGCCTGCGGTGGCCTTTGAGGTATCCGTTCAAGGCACGAGTCTCGTCGCGATCCGACTTAAAGGAGACGGTGCGTGTGGAACAAGTGCGTGGATCCGTGACGACAGCGTCGAAATGATCGGCCCGTCCGTAGATATGCGGAGGAACGATTCGTTGAAGTAGACGTCGACAAGTGTTCGGTTCGAAGGTGCCACGCACTGAACGCATTTTCGTCCGACGACCCGACTTTATCTGTCCGACCAGCTCTTGCTGGCTTCTTTACTAGTGGTTAGTTGCTCGATGGTTGGCCGTGGTTGCTTGACAGTTGACTGGTGACGTGCAGGCAACTACTTCAACGTGTTCGTCAACAATGAGCTACACTGCATCCTGCGCGCGTCACTCACTGCGACGTGCTGCGATGGTGAGAGAACGTTTCTGTTGGGGAATGATAGGCTGGAAAGTGTTTGCTGACTGAAACATTGTGCAGTGGCAACTGGGCTGGATATCAAGCAGAAGTACACGATCCGAATTTGCAAGCGCACAGAGCCGCAGATGCGAGGTGCGATGTCGACGTTCAAGGTGAGTTCGTGAAGCACTGTCGTGTGATGGGACGTCTGCGGCTTTGTTGGTGCTCAGGAACTCTTGCGTTTGCATTTGTAGATCTGCACATTCTACGGATTTATTATCGAGGAAGATGCCGAGGTCTTTTCAGTGGACCAGCTCGAGTCGCAACCTGTGCGCAAGATGGAGTTTATTGGTGACTCCGACACCTGTGGCTTTGGTAACGAAGGAAAAGCCAGCAGTGCCAAGAATTTGTTTGGGATGAAGGGGCGTATGGAAAACGTCTACAATAGTTACGCGTGCGTGACGGCGCGTATGTTTGATGCAGAAGAGCATGTGCTGGCATGGAGCGGGTAAGTCGTTACGCGATTGGTGTTGAAAGCTGCTGTTGCCTCTTACACAGTGCTGTCGCTTGTCCTGTGGTGAAGTAAGGGTGTGCATAGCAACTCCGCGGACTGGGGACCCAACATGCCGGCCTTGTGGAAAAATACGCTCGCGTCGCGCCAGAGCGACTGGGATATGTCCAGTTGGATACCTGACATCGTTGTGATCAACCTCGGCATCAACGACTTATCCCCACCCGCTTCCGCGGAGACTGACATTATCACGGGCTACGCGACGTTTGTACTGGAAGTACGCTCCTGTACGTGTTGTCGCTCGTGAATGAGCACATGCGGAACTGCTGTTAGACTAAATCTCCTCGTTCACTTTGTAGACCGTCCGGATGCACACATTTTTTGCGTGGTATACGACGAGGGATGTATAAGCTCGGAAGACTCGGAGACGAACCGCAAGTTTGTGTCACTGCAGCTGCAGGAGATTGTGAAAGTGGCGATCTCGAAGGTCAGCAAGCACGACGACAAGGTGCACTACACATTCATCAAGGTATGAATGCAGTCCGTTGTTTTCGTCTGCTCGCTCGCTAAAGCAGTCTGTCGCTGGTGTGCGGGTCATGTTCAGGTGGGCGAAGGCCTGGAAAAAGAGGATTACGCGTCCATGATGCACTTTGCCGTCAGTGGCCACGTCAAGATTGCCAAGGTGCTTGCAGAGGAGATCGCGCTGCGCACAGGGTGGAGCGCAGTGCACGAGCCCGAGACGATGCCGTATCCGCAGGCGAAAGACCAAATTTTGACGCCTCGAGACCACTCGAAGACCTCCTGCACGATGTCGTAGAATTTGGTCCGAGTAATTTGAGGATAAAGGCACGACCTATTTATTGTCCATCACAAAGTGCACCGATCCACACTTGAAGAGACCATCACTCTGTTTCGACCATGCTGCTGGCCCCTGACAAGTTGCGCGAGCTGCGCGCACTCATGAGTCGCACGAACGTTCGTCTGCTTCCTCTGAGACATCGCTTGGGTAAGACGGAGAAGGGTGAGGCAGCAACGGAGCCTACGACCCGATCGCTGCAGGCTTTCATCGTGGACACGGCCGACGCCCATCAGAGCGAATACGTGGGGGACGCGCACAAACGCCGCGAGTTCCTCACGGGCTTCACAGGATCAAGCGGCACAGCGCTTGTCACGATGAATGAAGCGCTGCTGTGGACGGACGGCCGCTACTTCTTGCAGGCGGAGCAGGAGCTCAGCGAAGACTGGACGCTCATGAAGTCCGAGGAGCCGGGCGTGCCGACAATTGAGGTAGGACCAAAATTGGTCTCGGACTTTTTATGTACCTCATTTTGTGATGTGGGTACGGTGCACGTTTTATGTCACGTTGTTGCTGACAGCAATGGATAAAATCCAATCTCCCCTGTGACAGCTGTTTGGCGATCGATCCCTATTTGACTTCGGCGATCGCAGCTCGGTAAGAACGTGGCGTGACAACGAGTGGTCTCGATGCACTTTGTAATTGACTTTTGGTGTATCAGCAACTTTGCCAGGGCTCTGAAGGATACAAATATTGAGCTTGTGGCGCTCTACGAGACTGAGAACCTGATTGATCGCGTGTGGGCGGACCGTCCAGCTATTTCACCCTCACAGATCACTTTTCTGCCCGAAAAGTACACTGGGCGATCAGTTGCTGACAAGTTGGCGCGTCTTCGTGAGGCTGTTAAGGAAGAAGGAGCAGACGCCGTTGTACTCACTGCTCTGGATGACATTGCGTGGCTGTTTAACATTCGAGGAAACGAGGTCAAGTTCAATCCAGTTGTGTGAGTGACGACAGATGTCTGTTGCTTTCGATTGACGGAGGTGTTCGTTTCTAACGTGCGCGAATCGGACGTTTGTCTTTTGTCAGTACGTCGTACGCCATCGTAACTTTTGACTCAGCGACTCTGTTTCTGAATGCGTCCAACGAGGACGAGGTGACTCAGCACTTGGGACCGAGTGGAATCGTTTGTAAGCCGTACTCGAATATGTTGGAAGAGCTGTCGGCTTTTACCTCTGCTAGTAAGGACAAGCAAATTCTTGTGGACCCTGCACAATGCAACGTCGCTGTATTCCTAGCGATTCCGGCTGCAAACCGAAAAGAGGTTACGTCGGTGGTTATGGCCCAGAAGGCGATAAAGAATGCAACTGAGATCGAGGGCATGCGTCAGGCACACATTCGTGACGGTGCTGCGCTCGTTAAGTACTTTTGCTGGCTTGAGAACGAGATGAATTCCAGCCGCAAAGACCAATGGGACGAAGTCATGGTTGCAGACAAGCAGGAACAGCTTCGACAGCAAGTGAAAGACTTTGTGTCACTCAGCTTTGACACCATCTCGTCGATCGGGGCTAACGGGGCCATTATTCACTATTCGCCGAAGCGTGGGAATTGTGCCAAAATGTCGACGTCTGCCATGTACCTGAACGACTCAGGTGCTCAGTATCTGGATGGCACGACTGACGTCACCCGAACACTCCACTTTGGTCATCCTACTTCCTACGAAAGAGCGTGCTTTACGTACGTCTTGAAGGCACATATTGCTCTTGCAAGTACTGTCTTTCCTGACAAGATTGAAGGCGTTCGACTTGATGCAGTTGCGCGTGCACCTTTGTGGAAGGCTGGTCTGGACTATCGCCACGGAACGGGTCATGGTGTGGGTGCGTTTCTCAACGTGCACGAAAAGGGTGTGGTAAGTGATGAGCAGTTTCATCGTGCTTGCTGATAACTTGCGCTGACATGGGTATGTCACGCGGCTACGCAGTTAATGTCGTTTCGCTTGAACCCGAACGGCCTAAAGATTCAAGACGGCATGGTTCTTAGCAACGAGCCTGGCTACTATGAAGACGGCAAGTTCGGCATTCGAATCGAGAGCATCATGGTTGCTCAGAAGGTGAGTTGCAGTAGCTGTGCGTCTTTGTCCGTTGTCATGCGCATTCGCAATGCCTTGCTTACCGCTTGTCTCTATCTCTACGTGTAAAAAAACGAACTAGGCGCCTCAAATCAAGAGCCCACTCAACCGCGACTTCTGCGTATTTGAAACCCTCACTATGGTGCCAATCCAACAGAAGCTAATCGACGAAAGTCTGCTTACGCCCGAGGAAGTGCAGTGGTTGAACGCGTACCACAAAGACGTACGCGACAAGCTGCAGCCGCTGCTAAAGGATGACTCGGAAGCTTGCGCGTACCTCGCCCGAGAGACAAAGCCCCTGTTGCAGCAGCCTTCGCCTGCTTGAATTCGTGGTTAGTTCGAGACACGAAGCTGCGCGAACATTAGCTTTCCCAGCGTAGCTCCAACTTTTTACTCTCTTTTGCAGTGCTCTCCTCGTGTTCCTTGTGACTCTCGGCAGTGCCTGGCGACGAGCTTCTGCTGGCTCGATGTTGTCTCCTGTGCCACACTCGAGTTCGGCGTTGTTCCCGACCTCCCAAGCATTCGAGCTGATGAAGCAGACGCGTCTCAACAGCTTCGACCCGCTTTGCCCGACGCTCTGACTGCTCTTCCTCACGCTGTTTGCGCGCTTGAATCTGATGTGAAGTTCCGCCTGCAAGCGCTTTGGCCACGTGATCGAAACGTGCTTGGTACACACGCATCTCGCGCTCCATCTGCTGTCGCTCTCTCTGCAGTTCGCTGTCTGTCATCAAGGTTTCACCACGAGACAGTTGACTGCATAGCGGCACGTTGAACTCTTGACTCCTCATCGTTTTCTGCTGCTCGTGCGCTACAGCCGACGCTCTTGCAGCTCTGACAGGAGCACCTGGAGGAGTCTCCAGCGTACGCGAAGTGTCAAATGCCGGGTACAGCGTCGTCAAAGTGGTGTGTTGCTCGGTACATAGCTCCTGGGCACTTGATGACGTCGATTGCCTGACACACGCGCTCCTGTGCTTTCTATGGGCACCAGAAAGCTCCGTAGACGGTGCTGCATGTTCCGCTTCTGGGGCGTCGAAAGCGTCAATCAACTCGTTGACGTAGACGTCTTCGAGCAGCTCCATGCTCGATTCTCTTAAACAAGTACAAATTCAATACAATAGGGACACGACGGCAGATGCGACAACTTCAATACGGGCGACCGCAAGAGTCCCACGAAGCATCTTTGCGTTATTGGGTTTGACACTTGGATACTTATCGTTGCTCAGGTTTATGACTCGTGTCGTAGCAGTTACACCAGCATTGACTCGTAATCGTTGAAGTCATACGTGGTGTCTACCGCTTCCTCCCATCCCTTCAGATGACAAACCAGCTACGACCGAGCTCAACGACGCCTGGAGCGACCAGAGCTTCTACTACGACTACGATTGTAACTACGACGTCTTCGCCTTTCCCTGCTATTCGAACGGTCTGATGGTCGACTGTGACTGCGTTTTCTTCGGTAGTTGCGCGAGCTCCTAGCTCCTTCACGCTTTCGTTCGTCGGACTTGCTGCGAGAACGCCTGAGGCTTCGGCTGCGAGAACGGCGAGTATTTGCTGGTCCATCATCCCACCTGCTGCGTCGTCGACGGGCTCTCACGGAAGACATCTTTCGTCGCTCGCGGACTTTTGGGCGTAGCAAGTGCTGGTGCATCTGCACTTGCTTGTGTCTCGGTTGAGGTTCTCTTTTCCTTCTCCTTCTCAGCTTCAACCTCGAGCTTTTCCAGCTCTGGACTTGGCACATCTTTTTCCATCGGATAATCATCCATAGCAAACGGATTTGTCTCCGTTAGCGGTTCTAGCCACTCCACCTTCTCCTGCTTGTACAGTTCCATAATCGCGACACTCACAGCATATAGCTCTGCCTTCTCCACGTCAAACAACGAATACCACGGCGGGTGCTCCGGCAAAGCCACTCTCTGGAACCGACTGGCTAAGAATATAGCTGCACACGCAGTGACTTGGGCCTTGTATCGCACACAGATATCGCGTCGCAGACTGTCGTTAATGTAACCCCAAGCCTGTTGCGCGAGCTCCGAGCTGCCGGCCAGTACCTTCACATAGTACAGCACGTACTTGTGCGGGTGCTCCGTGACATTGTAGATACTAAAGCCCACGTCAATCAGCACCTGACGCTCGACTGTAAGCAGCCACGAACGCCATTGGCTAAAAGTCGCGCTGTCCACGTCAAGGAGCTGCTGCGTCACGGCCGCGCGCTTCCACTTGCGCCGTCGAAACGTGGCGTAGAAGACGCGGACCACGTCGTGCACGCGATTGGGCGTTTCTTCCACTTTTGCAGCCAGAAATAAGCAGCTCATTGCGACGCGAAGAGCGTCGAATTGGCGCAGAGATTTGCGATAGTAGAAACGGTGTAACAGCGTCTGGGCTGTAGCCATCACGACTTGCGGGAGACGCAGGAGGATGCCCGCTTCCTGGATCAGTTCACAGCCGAAAGAGCGGTGCAAGCGCTCTGTACTGGGACAAACACCATCGTCGAGCGACGGCGAACGTGCGAGCGTGGACGCGGGCAGCACGACGTCGGCGGCGACTGTAGCCACATGCCGGGATGTCATGTGCTCGACAATAATGGAAATATCACGATAGTGGGCCGAATGCTCGAACTTGGTTGTTGGTTGTGCAAGTAAGTACGAAGTGTGAAGTCCAGGACGGAAATCAAGAGGAAAAGAGCGACTTAAACGCGACTTAAACGCGACTTGTGGCGAAAAAGGATGATCGTGTTGTAGCCAACACGTGTGACGACATTGGCTCGAGACGATTTGATGATCTCGTGGGAGATGTTGCCGGGTGGACACGAAGTGGAAGTGGCGGGTGATGAGGACGATGTGGCGGTGTGGCGCGACATGCAGTCGAGAGGCTATGGGATACCGCCAGTGGCGTTTGGACCGCGTGGAAAAGGGTCGACAGGGGATCTGTGGACTGGAAAACCAGGCACTCTGGAAAACAAGAGGAGACGTCACTTGACGCTGCCTGAATTCTACTACCTTATGGCAATGGACGACGTTTTGCCAGGTGGTGGAGTGCTGCTGCCAGACTTGTGGAGCCGACTCGCGAGGTGAAGATGCAGCGAGATTAGTTGAATCAGGGGTCTAGTGGACAAGTGCCACGTGCTGACGACGGCTTTTTTGCTGTGCTTTGTGTCACTTTTCGTTCGCAGTTCCAGCGCGACCTTCACGAGAACTTTTGTCATTTACCAGCACTTTCGTCGTCGTGGCTGGATCCCAAGATCTGGTCTCAATTACGGCGCGCACTACGTGCTGTACCGTGGCTCGGCTGCGGCATTTCACTCGGAATACATCGTGTACGTGCAGCGTGATGGCGAAGTATCGTCGTGGAACTCTATTCAGTCGCATACGAGGATAGCAGCTGACGCGAAGAAGACGGTGCTGCTGTGTACTCTGACTAGCGAACGGTCACCTGACGATACGGCAACGCCGAAGACTGTCAAAAGCACTGTCAAGCCAACGCTTACTGCTAGTGACGAAGGTCTCACATCCGGTACATACAGCTTCTTCGGCATTCAGTACACAATTGAAGCAGTAGCCATTCGTTTTTGGGACGCGTCAATCGCAGGAGGGCAACAGCTGTACACATTCCAGCTCCAGCCTGTCTTGCCAAAGAACATCAAGTCTGCAAAGAGGAAAGGCAACATCCAGCAACTACCGAAGCGTTAGCTCAAGGCGAGACTTGTGCGAGTGCAGACACATGTTACACCACGTGGCGCGCGGCGCGTGTTGCATTTATCGGCCAATCTACTCAAGCACGAGCTTCTCCAGGATGAGACCCACCGTCGATCTCAGTACGTGACCAGCGTTCACAAAGAAGCTTGTTAAGGGACCGATCAGGAGATGCTCATCAGTACGGACGCTTCGCTCTTGAAGACGATCGTAAATATGTGCCGGGATTGCGCGGAAGTCCACCGAACACTCTGGAAGGTTTAGCACCTGCAGTAGCACCACCAGTAGGACCAGAAGCTGTGGGGTTGTGCTCGTACAAGAGACGGACAACGTCCCGCGATAACTGGAGCAGCGAGTCAAGAGCAAGGGCAAAGACGAGACGCACACGTTCGAGCGCTCGGACGTGACGATTCAATGGCAGGTGGCAGACGAGTCGGGTCTTCCCTGCGTCTTGCAGCGAGTGCAAAGTGGCAGTGACGGAGCTGAGTCTTGGGGGCGAAACACGGCGGTCGGTAGTGTCGAAGCCACAGGGAAGTACCGTCCGCTGCCTGTGCGACAGCTAGTCGTGGCTGTCTGGATGTACCTGCCTCATGTCGAGGTTGCCCTCACAGAGGAACGCACACCCGTTAGCGACGTCGTCAAGCAGGACTTTTTCGCTGAGATGGACAGGACAATGACAGCGTGGATGAGGATCTGTTCGAAGATTGTGGTGACTCGCGCTGATTGGTGTCCGACATGCTGTGTCGACGGCTGGCTGGCTGGTGGGTGACGGCGACGAGTACCTTATTTCGGGTCTATTGCACGCGTGTGGTTTGGCGTACTTGTGAGTGACGCATAGGTGAATGCTTGGGGGTGAATGCTTGAGCTACATGTATTGATCACTTTGATCGTGAAGACGACAGTAGTGACATGTTCAGCAATTGTCGACTGGATGCTGACACCGAGAGAGGTGACATGAATACAGGAGTGATCGTTCTAGGTGTCGCAAGTCGTGCGAATTGTGTCAGTTACTAAGCGTCCTACTTGCACCTATCTCCTGGATTCTCCATTTCCACTGACGCAGGCCAAGGATTATGTTTGCAGCAGTGCATGGCATGTAAACAGAGCGGTGAGACTCCTGACTCGTTGACATACGCAAATGGCGACAGCGATATCGCCATGTGTACCGTGATAAGTGCTAACATGAGTGGCAATCTCACAACAAGCTGCGGCATGGCGCAAGAGCATGGAAGGTAGTGCAACATGAAATCTGTGATCGCCACAGATGCGATGTCACGGCTCAAAGGGAAGGAGGAGCAGAGTACACGGGCATGTCAGATCGATTGTATCGCTCTCGTGTAGCATACTGATTCTATCGTCCTGACTGTAGCAGGCTCGGCACCACAGAGCAATTATGCTGCGTGCTCAATAGCACCTGCTCGTGGCCGATCACATTAACAGATGATGTTATTGGACCGTTGTCTCCTTCTGCTACCTCTGAGTCGTGGTCGTGGCACCACAACCCGCAAGCCGTGCGACAATGTCGTTCAATCAAATCTTGTCTCTCCCAGGTGTGGTGGAACCATTAGAAGCGCACATCGTTAGTCTCGAACTGGAACCGACACCGACTTTTTTACAAAGCGAAACGACCGACTTACCTTTTCCCTACTTCCGGATACCCTCAGCGTTTACCATCTGGCTGCTAGAAGCGCTGAACATGTCATCATTGTAGCTCACTTCCGGCATCAAGCAGTCGTCTTTCGGCGCTTACCGTTCCGTCTTTTGACATTTTCATGTTCCTCGTCCCTGAAACGGGGTGAATCGTTGCATAACAATTTATAAGAATTTGTTAATAGAATATAACTATAAGAGTTATATTCTCAGAATATTGTCATAAGGACAAATATTCTGTAGCACTTACGAGTAGTTCCTAATTGGTTGATATAGGCCATTATATCAACCAACGAAGACGCGCCATGACAGACGCACGCAATGAGTGGTGAGCAGATAATTGATTTACACATTTGTATTTAGACATAGTTAAATGTAGATAAACAGTGATTTATTGCAGACATTAACTATACTAAATACAGTTCTACTCTTTACTCTCACCAAGTACTCGCTTCTCCTTACCGTCTTCCTCTGCACGTACGAGTGTATGTGAAGTTCCGAGGCACCGCCTTATTCTGTCATCAGAATAAGTAGCTTGTACTGTTACCAGTACAAGCTTCACGGTGCCCCGTTACAGTGATGTCTCGATCCTAAATCAATTAATAAGCAGCGTGTTACTACTGCAAAGCAAATTTATCTATCAGGAGAATATTGAATTTTTCCTAGCGTAATATTTATACTTGGAAATAACCGTTTGTAAATTATCATGTAACGAAAGCACCCAGTTACAACGGTGATGCGGCTGTGTAGAGACCACAATCAAGACTATCATCCTATAACGGGGCACCCTGAAGCTTGTACTGGTGACAGTACAAGCTACTTATTCTGATAACAGAATAAGGCGGTGCCTCGTAACTTCACGTACACTCGTACGTGCAGAGGAAGACGGTAAGAAGAAGCGAGTACTTGGTTAGAGTAAAAAGTAGAACTGTATTTATAATAGTTAATGTCTGCAATAAATCACTATTTATCTTCATCTAACTATGTCTAAATACAAATGTGTAAATCAGTTATCTGCTCACCACTCATTGCGTGCGTCTGTCGTGGCGCGTCTTCGTTGGTTGATATAATGGCCTATATCAACCAATTAGGAACTACTTGTAAGTGCTACAGAATATTTGTCCTTATGACAATATTCTGAGAATATAACTCTTATAGTTATATTCTATTAACAATTTCTTATAAATTGTTATGTAACGATTCACCCCGTTACATCACCCCCCCTTAACCATCAGTCACTTTAGTGACTGATTGACTAAATGGATACTCGTCCCAAATCATTTGGGACAGGGTTTGCACTTGTTGGTCCGCGTCCACTTTCCAACATTTCATCGCATGGTTAACAAGCCCATGCGATGCGCGAGCAAGGCCGCCGAGAGCGCGTCTGCACGTCTCTGTGCGGACGCCGAAGCAGAAACAACAGCAACTGATGTCCCATCGGTTGCTGAAGCGACTCAGCCTGTGTCACCTGGTGATGCAGGCGCTGGTCATGAAGACACTCGTGTCTTCACAGAGTACGAGCTCGGTGTCTCGTACTCTCCTGATACGGATGACGGATCCGTATCGACGGCAATTGAATCCAAGCCGCCTGCCAAGCGTGGCATGGACGATGCTTTGCGTCGCAGCATCTTTGGTTCATCTGACGAATCAGATGAACCATCGCCGAAGCGAAGGCGCTCGAGGTCGCGAGACTCGGGCGCTAATAGTGGTGTCGGTTCTCCAATGGACACCACTTCACAGCGAGGTGCCAATACTTCTGTCGGCACGTCGCAGGAAGAGCGGGACCGCAATGTGTTGCGTCTCGCTCCAGAAAAGAAGGCATGGATGCCTCCTAAATCCGTCATGGATCACTTGTCGGCGACGACGAGTGATCGTTATCGAACACGATTGTTCGATTCGTCAAGGATCCATCACCTTGACCCCAGCGCGAAAGACTATCGCGCTGAACATGAGTTCTTCATCGATGCTTTCTTCAGACATCGATGGTACAGTGGGAATCACAAACGTGATGGTCCCTCACTACTTCAGGCGTGGAACGCCTACATCCATAACCTCGAGGATGTAGGTCGTGACGCTTGGAACGACAAACTTATCAAAGCTCGTGATAAGTTTGAAAAGCGAACCCCGACAGGTGCACGCTACAAGCTGCATCGTCTGTCAAGGGAGAAAGGATTACCCTGCCTCTCTTGGGGAGACTCGTGCCCATGTTGTGTGAACAACTCTGCACGAGCACCTAAGGAGGCTTACCTCCTTACCAGCCCGTGGTGGCGCGTACGTGTCTCTACTGAGATGTACGAAGGGATTGACAACCTGAAATCCCTTTACGACCGTGCCGGGAAGACTTTCTCCGGCGGTCCTTCTGCGGCACAGGATGTGCCGCGTCGTACTGCTCGACCAGACCCAGTACGTCAACCATCAATTGGGAGCGGGGCTCCCAAGAATCCCAGGACGGGGGATAGCCGCGCCACCGGACGAGGTAACTCGTCCGACGTCCGTTCACGTCGCGGTGGTTCAACAGCTGCTCAACTAGATAGCGCTGGCCACCGCGAGAGTCCTCTAATGGAGGTGGAGGAGGAGGAAAGACGCTCTCCACACGATCATGTGGATCGGTGTGTTCCCGAGAGCTTCTTTGATCGCGTAACGCAAGGGTTACGCGACGATCTCGAGCATGAGCGGAATAGGCGTCTCCAGATGGTGGACACTGCCTCGAAGCATCGAGCTGAGTTTGCCTTTGCTCAGCTTGAGAACGAGAGATCTCTGACATCTCTTCGTGACGAGCTAAGGGTAGCTCGTGGGATTGTTGATCGGTCTCGGGCTGAGATAACTGCTCTTCAGACCCTTGTTGATGCCCACCATCGGGAGCACAAGGCTCTCTGCGAGATGCTTGAGCGCAAGGGCGTTCTTCATCGGAAGAAGCAGCGTACTGATGGTACGGCTTAAGCCGACCAACGTAAAACGTGGGATGCGTTCGCATCTTACGTGGTAACTCGATCGTGTATGCATTGCCTAGGCGGTGCAATACACGAAATGGGCCAATGTACTTGGGTAGTAGTTTACTGCTACCCAAGTTAGTCACTACATGCTTTGGTAGATTAACCGTAGACAGTAGGACTAAGTCACCTTTGTTAAATAAAAGAGTGTTTGCCCTTCCATTCTTGTCAGCGTTTTGCTTTTGCTTATCCACCGCTTCGGCGATGGAGTCTTGCACAAAACGGACTACCGTTTCACGAGCCAGTATGAACTCATCTGATGACTCGTTAGCTTCAGTGTGCTGTGAGCGCACTGCAGCAACAACAACCTTTTCTTCAGTGAGGGCTTCCGCACTCTCGCTGGGATCATTGTCTTCAGTGAGGGCTTCCGCACTCTCACTGGCATCATCTTCTTCGATATCGATGTTATCGATATCGGCATCAAACGCAATGACTTCTTCGTCAGAGCGTGATGAGCGTGAACCAAATCGGTTTTTGCTCGCGCGAGTCCCTCCCCCCCTTAAACCAGAGTTACACTCTAGTAAGGTGGGTACACGCGGATGGCGTAAGCCATTCACGTAAAACGGTGTATGTGTCGTGGACGCATGCACCGAGTTGTTGATGGCAAACTCTACCATTGGCAAAAACTCACTCCAACTCTTAAAGGAGTGTACGTATCCTCGAAGTATCTCTTCAAGGACACGATTGGCACGTTCCGTCTGACCATCTGACTCTGGATGATCAGATGTTGACATCTTCAAGCGCGTTCCGAGTGATTTGAACACGGACCGCCAGAAATCAGCAGTGAATCGTGGATCTCTGTCTGATACGAGTTCACGGGGCAACCCATGAAGTCGGAAGATGGTGTCAATAAAGACACAAGCACAGTCACTTGCCGTGATTGTCTCTGGTACAGCCACAAGGTGTACCATTTTGCTGAATCTGTCAACAAATACGAGAATACCCGTATTCCCGCGTGCGTCTTTGGGTAACCCGAAGACGAAATCCATTGAGATGGATTCCCATCACTCTGCCGGAACTGGTAGAGGCTGTAAAGGTGCACGCAGTGAAGAACTAGACTTCACTCGTTGACAGACTTCGCATGCGCGAACATACTTTCTCACAAACTGATACTGGCGGGGCCAGTAAAAGTCTCGACTTACCGTGAGATACGTTTTCTCTCGGCCACGATGTCCTCCTATAGGAGCATCGTGATACTCGAACATGATCCGCAAACGCAGATCAGTATCATCTGGAATGACAACACGTGGTGTGTCACCAGAAACGGCTGTTTAATACAGTAAACCGTTACGAGTAGTGTATCGATCTGATGCAGATCGATACGCAGGCGACAATCGTTTCAACGATTCTCGAGATGGTTGGGAGAGATGTGTCAACAACTTCACTATCTCACCATCTTGGGCGTATGCCCGCCTCACATCATCATACAACATTGTAGATGGAACTGAGGACGTCATAACCGCAACAGTGACTGTCTCACTGTTGGTTTTCGCGACTGTTTCAAAGTCGGGACGACGTGAGAGTGCATCAGCAACGACATTAAGTCGTCCTGGTTTGTACTCGACCGTAAAGTTGTATTCCGCAAAGAATGACAACCACCGCGCCATTCGTTGTGAAAGGTGCGGGCTGTTCACTGCCGTGCGTAATGACGCATGGTCAGTGTAAACAACGAAGGGTCTATCTCCTAATAGATAGACTCTGAACTTCGCGAGTGCATACTTCATGGCAAGGAGTTCCTTGTCATGCACTGGATAGTTCCGCTCAGCTGGTTGCAGCTGACGCGACTGATAGCAGACGACGCGTTCAACGCCTTCAAGATCGTACTGCATTAATGCACTTCCGATTGCGAGATCGCTGGCATCACAGACCACATGAAATGGCCTGTCCTGATCGGCTATTGCTAGGACTGGGGATTGTATCAAGCTCTGCTTGATACCCTCAAAGGAGCGTTGACATTCAGCGTTCCATAACCACCTCTCGTTCTTTTTCAACAAACGAGAGAGGTGCACAGTCATCTCGGCGTAATTGCGTGAATACTTATGCAAATACGCCGCTAGCCCAAGGAATTTTCGAAGACCTTTGACATCGACCGGCACAGGCCAGTCGGTGATCGCCTTGATCTTTTCGGGATCAGGACGTACACCGTTCTTACCAACGATGCACCCAAGAAGTGGTATTTCGCTTGCTGCAAATATACACTTCTTGAGGTTAGCATACAATTGATGCTTTCGCATGATTGTAAGAACTTGTCGGACGTGGTACCTGTGAACCTCAACGTCCGACTTTCCATCCATAGCTCGACTATGGATGAATGCGTCATCGAAATAACTCGGCGCGAATTCTCGTACTGGTCTCAACAGATGTGATACACATCTGTTGAACGTGGCAGGGGCATTACTGAGCCCTTGTGGCATTACTAGCCATTCCCAGAGCATGCCGCTAGGCGTGCTCACTGCGGTATAGGGTATATCCCGTTCCCGCATTAGGATTTGATAGAAGCCATCCATCAAATCCATGGACGAAAAGATGGTACTCTTTGACATACCATCAATGATTACGTCCTTCCTCGGTATCGGCGTCTGAGCCGGTACCGTTGCAGCGTTCAATTTGTTAAACGCATGCACTATCCGCCACCCTCCTGTTGCTTTTCGCACACAGAAGGTCGGAGAGCTATGTGGGGAAGTTGATTCCCTCACATGGCCCGCTGCTAAACGATCGGCAAAGAACTTGTCGATCGCAAGTACTTGTTCACGAGGCAGTGGCCACTGCTTCATGACACAGTACTTCGAGCCTGGTTTAAGCTCGACTTCGTGTCGAATACCTTTATCCTTCGGTAATTCGCACGGAACAGTTTCAGGGAATACATCCTTGAATTCAACCAAATCTTCATAGAGAGGATTTGTCTTGAGCGATTCCCACGATTGGGAGTCATATCGCTCAATTCGTGTCTTTTCATCTAGGACACTCTCGTCCATAGATGAACTACTGAGAACTCTCTCGTTCTCAGTAAACACTGTTGCTGACCTTATGTCGGTTACACACTCGTCGTCAGCGACGAGTACGCAGATCTGCTTGACTTTGCCACTACGCAGATCACGCAAGAACCTTTTATGTTCGAGCGTTGGCAACTGAGTGATCTCCGAAGTTAACTTCGGAGGCGCAATCAGATCAAGTGTATAAGCGCCTACACATGATCCGTTATTGACTATGACATTCAATGTCTCTGTCATTTCCTGGGGACTTATTCCCTCAGGCTTCGAAGGACTTATTTCTTCGTCTTTCCGGGGACTTATTCCCGCGGGTTCCGGGGAACTTATTTCCGCCGTATTTGTAATCTTGGGACTTATTCCCTTTACTTCCTCTAGCTGGGGTTGCGCAACCACAGCGAGATCCTCTACGAAAGACTCTCCAGTCGATCTAGGATTATCGTTTCGCTTAACCTGAGCGATCGATTGTTTCTCTTCTAGATGTTCCCCTCTAGGGATACATCTTTGTCCCAGTCCACCCGACTTATTCGAGTGGTGGACCTTCGGCGCAGCCTGTGTTTCCTCACAGCCGCCGGAACTTTGCTCCGAAGTGTAACCGTTTGGTACACTAAGGTTTTGTGCAGTCGTACTAACGACCGTACCACAAGTGAGGCCATCGCACTCACTCGTAGTACATCCACACGCTTGTGGACGCTCCAAAACGTTCATCAGATGGCCATCTGATGAACAAGCGGCAGGCATCGTTACTGTCCGATGTTGCCAGTTTACCCGTGGTTCGTACCTTCTGAGCCACGGTATTCCAAGGATGACATCAAATTTGTCATCCAAATCCAATACGATAAAGTCATCGTCATATTGGGTATCTTCTAGCGTATAGTGGATCTTCACTATACGCTTCATGACGGTTACGGATGCGCCTGTCGCAAGACGTACCGTCATCCTCGTAGGAGGTGTGTCACATTCACTGAACTTAAAGTGACCATCTTCTAGCGATTGGCGTCGCACAAAATTGTTGGACGCCCCACAATCGACTAGAGCTCGAAGGGACAACTTATTCGTCACTTCGAGTTTCAAGGTAATGAGTGAGATCTCATTACCTAGAGCAGCAACGCACAACGTCTGTGTGTTGGGAGCAACCTTCATCAAGAGGCCTACAAATTCTCTTGACGTTGCTGGATCAGTAGGGTGCTCCGCACCTACTGATCCTGTCCGTTTTTTGACGGTCCATCCCGTTGTTGCGTCTTTGCACCAACTGCGGACCCTCGTCCCTGCCCCTTTCTCATGGGTGGACGGTCACTACGCCCAGTGTCGCGAGACACTGGACGAGGGGCACTACACTCGTAAGCGTAGTGTCCTGTCTTTTGACATCTGTTGCATCTCTGCAACTTCTTGTAGCCTGTAGAGCGAACCTTCTCGCTCTCTACATAACAGAGTTCCATCGGCTCTGGACCTCCGTTGTCATATCGTCTCGGTTGACGATATGATGTCGAGCTGGCGCGAGCCTGTCTCAGACTGAAGTCTTCCTGCTCCGCAATGGAAATGGCTTGTTCTAGTGAATCTAGTTCAAGCCGGAACAGGTGAGTCTTGACGGGACCATCCGCAAGACCCTGCATGAACACCGAAACCAACGTGTGTTCATCCACTGGATTGGAACTTATACAACTCGTAAGATGTCGTATGTGTTGAGCGTAAGCGTGCACATCACGCTTACCCTGCTTGAGCTTCAAGAGTTCGGTTCGAGCCCTGAACTCAGCTCTAGGCGGTTCAAACGTTTGTCTGAGCCGCGACTTGAAGACTTCCAACGACCCAAACGCATATGGGTCGTGCAGCTTGAGCCCCAGTGCCCAAGTCTTGGCACGTCCTGCCAGATTCGATTGGGCAAATGCAACTTGCATATCCCCGTCGTCGATGCGACGCGCCCTTATGGCGTCATCCAATTCGACGAACCATCTCAAGAGGGAGTCTTCTTCGACCCCTCTATACTTTGAGATGTCAATCTTCAAAGTCTCGGGTCGACGCGAGTGCATCGACCCGCCAGCAGCAGCCTGCTGCTGTCTCAATAGTTCAAACTGTTGAACAACCTCTTCTCTTAACAACTCTGCTTGTTGAGAACCTTGTTGGTGAAGCAAGGCTACTTTCTCGCGTTCTGCGTCAAGTTCTTTTTGAATGAACTTGGCGATAGTAGCATGTTGGGCATCTCTATTGAGAGCCTCTAGCATGACGCTAACAGCATGGATGCCCATGGTCGAACCCATTCGTTCAACCGCATCCCATTCGACATCGCTCAAATGGGAGTAGCCGTCACGCGTAGCGTGAAAGCTTTGGTCATCTTCATCATCCAACATATTCATGTTGGATGTGAACGCGGTCCTTGGACGGACTACGAAGTGCTACCAGGTGTAACGGGGCACCCTGAAGCTTGTACTGGTGACAGTACAAGCTACTTATTCTGATAACAGAATAAGGCGGTGCCTCGTAACTTCACGTACACTCGTACGTGCAGAGGAAGACGGTAAGAAGAAGCGAGTACTTGGTTAGAGTAAAAAGTAGAACTGTATTTATAATAGTTAATGTCTGCAATAAATCACTATTTATCTTCATCTAACTATGTCTAAATACAAATGTGTAAATCAGTTATCTGCTCACCACTCATTGCGTGCGTCTGTCGTGGCGCGTCTTCGTTGGTTGATATAATGGCCTATATCAACCAATTAGGAACTACTCGTAAGTGCTACAGAATATTTCTCCTTATGACAATATTCTGAGAATATAACTCTTATAGTTATATTCTATTAACAAATTCTTATAAATTGTTATGTAACGATTCACCCCGTTAAACATCCCACCTCTGTCTACTAGCGACAAAGGTCTTACATCAGATCTACACAGATGTTATGGCATCAAGCACACAGTGGGAATTCTTTTTTACGACACGCCGATTGCAAGTAAGTAACAGTCGTACACTGTCCTGCTCAGCCTGTCTTACCAAAGAACATCAAGTCTGCAACGAGGGAACGCAACATCAAGCACTGAAGCATTAGCTCAACGACAGGAGTCCTGCAAGCAACGATATATATTGCACGACGTGGCACGCTATGCTTGCTGCATTCCTCGGCCAATCTATCCAAGTACGAGCTTCTCTAGGATGAGACCCACCATCGATCCCAGTACGAGACCAGTGTTCAGAAAAATGCTCGTAAAGGGACCGATCAGGTGCTGCTCATCCGGCTGAACGCTTTCGCTCACAAAGATGATCGTCAGTGTGCCCAGGTAACCGTTTCCGAATCCGAGAAATAATACACTGAGCAGGGACCAAAAGTCGCTCTGAAGCCACCACTCTTTGACGATGCCGACAATGATCGGGACAATGATAAAACGTCCCATAACTGGGATCCACACGTTGCTGGGCGTGAGACCGAAGCGGTAATTCACAAAAAATCGTCCAGTGCAGTCGCTGATCGAAAAGAACGTAAGCAGGATCAGTGACCACCATCCACTGTGCTGAAGCGACGGGAAATTGTATGTTTTAATCTCCGTGATGAGCGGTGGCCACACTGACAGACTGGCAAGATAAACCGCTAGTATCAGCGCTTCCAAGTGCCACACCTTCTTCAAAATGGTCCACCTGTTCGATACGAGTCCAGAGATACGAAGTGGGTCACTCCCTGGTGACTGTTGCTCGTTCTTCACAAGTGACGACTGCTCTGTGGGCTCCTCGCTACTTTCCAGCTTGCACAGCAAGTACTTGTGTGTGATTCTGAGCTTCATGACCTTGTAAAAGGCCCCAATGCACAGCGCGATAGTAAGTGCTCCAACATAAAAGTAAATGAGCGACGAGAGTAGCAGCTGTTCAGCTGGAAAGACGAGTTTGGTCACGTCCCGATAGAGGCTCCCAATGAGAGTGCTGAGGCCGACGCCTAGTTGGAAACTCTCCTGCACTCGTCGCGGATAGTGCGACACGAGCGCGATCGTCGAGCTGTCAATGAACGCCGTGGCAATGGCCGCCACTGCTGTGGCGCTGAGTACAGCGGTGCCATTGGCGGTCTCGGACGAGAGGAAGAACGACGATGTCGGCACGAACATCAAGACGAGCAGTTGACCCGCCAAACCGCCAACAATGCGGCGTTTGTACCACGGGCGACGCAACAAGGCGACAACTACGCCGAGGGCGAGCAGATTTGTACCCATAAAGGTGCATGTGAGGGCGAACTCAATGTTATAGTCGGGAAAGAGCAGCATCCAGTAATCTACGGGCTGCGTGAGGGCGGAAAAGGGAAAGAGGTAGCCCACGCCCACGAGAGCAAAGAGCCAGCACGCCTGTGCTTCTTCATGTTCGTCCTGGACAGCGCACGGGACACTGCGGTCTTGCAGATCTCCGAGCAAGGCGTCGACGTCGGAGAGCCGGCGGGGTCCCGGCGTCCGAGGCAGCGGCGACAGCATTTGCGCCAATGGCAGCGCGCTGGGGAGGGTTTGCTCGCCTAAGTCCGACGAGCACTTTGGAAGTCGCAGCGAGGTTGCAGCAGTTGTGATGTTGCGCGGACGCAATCTGTTCGCGCTCCAAGCGCGTCGAGGTCCGACCGAGCGGGTGCAGACATTGACGCTGCTTGTGCACGTGCGGGAGCAGGATCTAAGTCACTTTAACGGAAGGAGCGGGACAGCAGGAGCGCAACGTATAGCGGTGAGTTACAACAGACGGGTGGACCTTTGCATGATGGCGCTCGATACTAGCGATTGACCAACTGACGGACTTTGTTGCCTGGTGCTCACGACTGCCTGACGGGTGGATGATGGATACATGAATGGATACATGGATGGATACATGGACGGGTGTACGTGGTGGCCAGCGATTGGTGGAGCTGCTGGACCGTGATGAAGCGTTTCAAGCGCTTGTACAAGAGACGGACGACGTCCCGCGACAACTTGAGCAGCGAGTCAAGAGCAAGGGCAAAGACGAGACGCACACGTTCGAGCTCTCGGACGTGACAATTCAGTGGCAGGTGGCAGACGAGTCGGGTCTTCCCTGCGTCTTGCAGCGTGTGCAAAGTGGCAGTGACGGAGCTAAGTCTTGGGGGCGAAACACGGCGGTCGGTAGTGTCGAAGCCACAGGGAAGTATCGTCCGCTGCCTGTGCGACAGCTGGTCGTGGCTGTCTGGATGTACCCGCCTCATGTCGAGGTTGTCCTCACGGAGGAACGCACACCCGTTAGCGACGTCGTCAAGCAGGACTTCTTCGCTGATATGGACAAGGACAATGACAGCGTGGATGAGGATCTGTTGGAAGATTGTGGTGACTCGCGCTGATTGGTGTCCGACATGCTGTGTCGACGGCTGGCTGGCTGGTGGGTGACGGCGACGAGTACCTTATTTCGGGTCTATTGCACGCGTGTGGTTTGGCGTACTTGTGAGCGACGCACAGGTGGATGCTTGAGCTACATCTGTTTTGTGCACTTTGATCGTGAAGACGACAGTAGTGACATGTCCAGCAATTGTCGACTGGATGCTGTCACCGAGAGAGGTGACATGAATACAGGAGTGATCGTTCTATGTGTCGCAAGTCATGCAAATTGTGTCAGTTACCAAGCGTCTTGCTTGCACCCATCTCCTGGATTCTCCATTTCCACTGACGCAGGCCAAGGATTATGTTTGCAGCAGTGCATGGCATGTAAACAGAGCGGTGAGACTCCTGACTCGTTGACATACGCAAATGGCGACAGCGATAGCGCCATGTGTACCGTGATGAGTGCTAACATGAGTGGCAATCTCACAAGCAATGGCATGGCGCAAGATCACAGAAAATAGTGTAACATGAAATCTGGGATCGCCACAGATGCGATGTTACGACTCGAAGTAAAGCAAGTGCAGACAGAGTACGTGGGTGTGTCAGATCCTTTCATCGTCCTGACAGTCACGAGTTTAACACCACAGAGCACTTTGCCGCGTGATCAACAACGCCTTCTCGTGGTAGACCACATGAACAACCGAATATTTATCGAAGCATGATCTCCTTCATTTACTAATGTTTCGTGGTCATGGCACCGCAACCCGCAAGCCATGCGATAAGCCGTTCAATCAAATCTAACCTCTCGGGTGTGAGAGCCGCATCAGAAGCGCACATTGTTTATTTCCTATTGACGCAACTCTGTCGGACCCTAGGTCTGAACAACGACATGACGATGAAAAGGCAAGAAAAAAGACTGAGCTAAAACGGCAGTTTCTGCATGGTTGAAGTTGTCTTGGCTTCCACTCGTTCTCGAGCTGAAAATGGGTCAAGTATGGACGTGAGTGCCGCGGGCATGTTCGATCAAATGACACAAATCGATAGATTTATTCCCACGCAAGTTCAAGTTACACACTTGAACTTTCGTGGCCGCGTGCATGAACGTAAATCGCGTGGAAAGTCGAGCGTAACCGACAACACTGGTCGCTCGCATCGTCGTCTCACCACTCCACGACCTGAAGCTGTCGTTTGCAAAGCAAGGCAAAGTGTAGTAGTGCCCATAGAATGCAATGTGGACAGACAAGCTGGAGAGACGTCAGCCAGCAAGCCGACCAGCCACGAAGGGGATTTATTGGATCCGAATGGGAATGGGACTGTCACCCAGGAGGCGCCGGTGACGCCCGAGACGCTTCCGGAACATCGCCGAAGTCGCTATAGTCATAAACAGCAGTAACGGGAAAGTCGAGATGGCACGGAGCCCAATTGACAAAAACGAGGCTGCTCCACTAACCTAATGCACTGCCGCGGTCTGTGGCATTCCGACGGATTTTGCGTCGCAACGCAGATCAGCTGCTGGCGTTTCCCCGTGTTTAGCGTCGGAAAAACCGCCATGAATCTTCCCACAGACCGAAATTGATGCTGCCCATGTTGCCCACGCAGCTGCACACAAACGAGCTCGCGTATCGGGAATCGACCGATCGAAGAGCTCGGTTTAGTTCGCCCATCTTCCTTTATTGCGTCGTTCTGTGTAAAAAAAGATAACCTCAACCATGGAGGGCCTGGTTGTTGACACTGTTCTTTCCCCTTGTGTAAAGGCGCGGTGTTGTTCTGAGCCACGGGTGTCGCTACGATGTCGTGCCCATTCCGCCCGTAGGTGCCCATTCCGCCCGAGGGTGCCCATTTTCGCCGTGGCGTCATGCACACAGACGAAACGGGTTGCTCCCTTTTTTCTCTCGACCCGTCCCTGGTCTTTTGTATCGCAGCGCCGAGAAAGTTGGCGCAGCAAACGAACCCGTAGACACACGCTCTCCGACCCCCACTGGGTCAAGCAAGGAGCATTTCGGTCGATTTGTCCCACGTAACGCTTCTATCTCCCAATTACTTCCACACGTCCCAGTCGTCGTCGTCGTCGCCTTGAGTCGCACGTTGTCACTTGTCCATTTGCCCTGATGCAGCAATCCCAGAGCCACTCAAACATGCTCGTCTCAGCACTGCAGCCGTCGCTGTCTCCTCACTCCGTCACGCGTCGTCGGACCACCGTCGCCAACGACACTGAGCTGGCCCATCGCCGCACGTCCGGCGCGACGATTGAACGCGCGCCCATTGCCGACGATCACGTGGACGTGCAGATCCTGAAGAAGTTGTCGGCCTCGGTCTCGCACTTCGAAGGGCCGCGCAAGAACTTGTCGTTTGTCGTGTCGGTTGAGACACTGATCCCCGGTCGTCGCGCCTTTTCTGACGAGCGCGAGTCGTGTCAACTGGTCGCCCGCTCGTTCGACGACTTTCGACACTTCCGCAAGTCGCTCTTGGCTCGTGTCGGAAGTCTCCACGACCCAGTGCTGCTACTGTCGGGACGAAATGGCAAGTGCCGGTGCGACGGCGTCAAGGGCTGCCCCTTTGACGTCACGCGGAGCTTCCTCGAACGACTCAAGTTTACCCGCATGCCCTTTCTCAGTCTCGGCGAGAGCGAAGCCGATCTGATCAAGCGCCAGCAGGAGATGGACAGCTTTCTCCACATTATCTTTGCGATCTTGCATCGCATGCAGCCAGGCTCGTGGCACTCGGAGTGCCGGTTCTTGCAGGACGTGATGGCCTTTTTGGAGGTCGAGGAGTCGTTCTCTCGGCAGATGGAGCTGATGCTGCGCTGTAAGAACCGCCGCATGAATCTCGATGGCTGGAAGGCACACACCCTGGAGACTTTTGGCTCGGGTATTGGCGTGTAGACGCCTAGTCAACCGGATCTTCTGACCGGTCTATTGCTGGCGTAGACCTCCGTCTACCGATTCCGGATCGAGCCCCCTGATTGTTTATTTAATGACGACGTGAAGTATTTTAAAGAGTATGTGGTGCTGTGCACCGTAGCAGACAAACAAACATGATTGTTTACCTCTTGAGCTTGAGCACCTACACACAACTGCCACTAGCGTCTGACCTTATCACTGTTCCGCTTGTGCTGGTGGAAACGTAACTTGGCGCAGGAGATCCACTATTCCATCGTGCGCCGTCAAGTACGCGTGCTGCTTGTCGTTGTATACAAAGAAAGACCCGATGAAGCCGATCGAGTTCACTTCAATGCCATTGAAGCCCTCCGTCTTCCTCGGGATCATGAAGAGGAACGACGAAGTGAGCAACAAGTTGTACGACACAAAGAGCGACGACGAAGTCCCGGACTGCGCAGAAGTTTTTAGAGACGCCGTGCTGTTCATCTGGCGAAGAACCTTATCGTAGATAGCGACCACGTCGGCCGCTGCCTTCTCGCTGTCGGTACCATCTGCAACATCAATACGATGGAGGAAGTGGCAGAAGGGAAGCTCCGGTAGCTGAACAGTCTGGGACATTGAGTGCGCGCGCAGCTGCTGGTCGATAAAGTACAGCAGCGACGGCTAAATAGAGGAGATGGTCAGTATAGATCACATTAAATGAACTCACTGTGCAGCGAACAAGCGGCTGTCGTACCGTATCAAGCCCCATGATGTCTTTCATGGATCGATACGTCATGAGTTGCATGTGTTTATGAGGTTGGCTGCAGCTCATACAACCGCAGCAATCAGAACACAGTGCTTCAATATAATGGCCAGCATCTTTTTCGTACCTAGCGCCGCTCTCAACTCCACAGTTGAAGAAGGCAAACGTGTCCAGTTCCTGCATGGCCGTCCACATGGCGCGGAAATCGGCAGCGTCCAGAGGCTCCTCCTGCGGGGCAAGATCGACCGTAGCAAGCACCACGTGCTCGTCGACGATACTGAACTTGTTAAGTACGAGATTGTGCGTCCCGTGCAGTTGCGTAATAAACAAGTCTTGGTCCAAGTTCTCCTTGGCAAACGGGTCTTGGAAGCTCTCAACTGGCGCTTGCTTGCTCGCAGCCGGTTTGTATTTGCGGTCTGCAGTCCACAAGACACAGCTGACATTGAGGCTGGGGGAAAATGGTAAGCGCTCGTGCGTGGCCGTGATCTGCTTGAGTGCCTGCGACTTTCTCGCGCGCTGAGTCACGTCCTGCACGGTCTTCCGTAGCATATTGTTCTGATTTTTCATCAATGTGACTAATAAATAAATCAAAACATGTATTGATAAATTAAAAGTTATGATTGATAGAAACAAACAGCAGGGGGCTGGACTCGTGAGATCGTCTTTCATCCAATCACCGACGTTGTTCATTACAGCTGGTGAACTTGACTGGCCAAGCCTGCGCTGCTCATTGCACCAGGGAGACGGACACCGATGAAGCCGCTCACGGGTGTCGCGCGCGGTGTGCTGAAGCGCAAGATGGAGCTCGCCAAGGAGGATAATACCAGCAAGAAACAGCGCGTGAAGGAGGCGACGGTAACGGCAATGGAGGTGATGAATCGTCTGCTGGCACCGGACGGAGACGCGGGCCACGACGTGTCGGACGCCGAGTGGGAGCGCCTCGTGCAGCTCACGCAGGAGCACGAGTACTTTGACAAGTTCTTTACGTTTCCGGAGGATGCATCTGATTGGGTGAAGCCTAAAAAGAAGAAGAAGAGGAAGCACTTGAAGGTCGTGGCTCTGGATTGCGAGATGTGTGTGACGGTAAAAAAGGGAGCCCGTGAACGCACGTCCAACGCTCTTTGTCGAGTATCGGCAGTGGACGGAGAGGACATTTTAGGTGGCATTGTCTCGGACTTTATTGTGCACCAGCCGGAAGACGGATTTCACATGGTGGACCCTAAGACGAATATCCACGGAATTACAGCCAATCAGATTGCCAGCAGTTCCATTACGACCAAACAAGCGCAGAAGAAAATGCTCAAGTACATCAATCAGGATACGATTGTAGTGGGGCATTCCGTGCACAACGATCTGGTGAGTTTGCGGATCAATCATCGACGCGTCATTGACACATCGATGATTTTCCAACGAAAGGTTGGAAATCCATCACAAGCGACACCTGGACTAAAGGATCTAACAAAGTTCTTGCTCGGCTTCGACATGCCGCAAGGACATGATAGTACCGTTGATGCTCAGGCTTCAATGATGGCAGCCAAGTTTGCTGTCCGGCACGAAACTGGCTGTATTATTCCCTCCGCGTTGGAGCTACACGGACATGGTGCTAAACAGCAACTCAAGGTGACACCGGTGACGACGGAGTACACGGGTCCTGTTATGCTTATTGAGACGGCATTCCAGTCGAGCAAGCCGATTAGCAAGTCAGTAAAGCGCACAGTATCGAAAGGTCCTGTGAACAAAGCGTCCTACATTGATATGGCCGCCATCACGAAAGAAGTGTCTATGCAAGCACGCACTGCGACGAGAATGTCTGAAGCAATGATTGCACGATCGTGTCGGTTACGTGTGCACCGAATTCCAAAGGGCTTGTCGAGCAAAGACATTGAAAAGTTTTTTCTAGAAACCACCATGGTCGTTCCTACCGCGGTAGAGAAAATTGCATGGCTGCCGGATCAAAACCGTGGCTCGTGCAATGTGACCTTCCCGAGCAACGCCCATGCAGCTCTGGCATTTGAGAGCGCTACGGGACCGGATGACAAGACTAAAGTGACGAACGATTCGATTGGACGCCCTCAGAAAACGATCGCCGTTACGAGTTTTATGGGAAAGACATACAAGAACGTTGCACTCGGCACATTTTAGGAAAGAGAGCGAAGCGTGCGTGCGAATCAAGTTTTGGTGGTGGTGGACCTGTGCCAGTTATCAACGATGCCAATTGTCTTGCGAAAAATGACCGGCTTATTTCTATACGATTCGGCTGTACATGGTTTGTTGGAAACCCCAACACTTTTTCAGCATCTTAGTAGCTGCTATTGTCTCGATGTAGCGGTAGGCTGAAAAAGACTTTGCGCTCCCTTCAGCTGCGAAGCAATGCTGCTGATCGACAAATTGTCGTCTTGCTTAGGTGAAGGTTCACAGTCGTTTTCAATCAGCCAACTTTTGCTTCTCGATTGCTCCGTACACTTCGACCGTCTGTACAAAGCCATGGCCTGTACAATTCGCACGTCGTTGTTCCGGTCTACATGACTATAGCATTATCACTGAACGAAGTCACGCGTGCAATCTGAACTCAGACACAACCTTCTGCTGCTGGAAAACAACCTGAGAGACCCAAGCTTACGGACCACTACTACAGAATGCATCAGATCCAGTCCAATCACATACTCCCCGATTCATTATATTTGTGTGTTTAATCAAAATACATTTGTAAAGGCAAAAATGAAGTTGTACATGTTGGTTATCGAATGGTGTTGAGAATACGCCGCTTCGTGCAGTCGTTTCATGTTGGGTTCATGGTGATGATTTCTGTGTCAGGGTGTTTCATGGTGGTTATTACGGAAGAAGGTTATGGATCGCGGTTACATGATGAGATCACAGGATGTCGTTACATTAAGGGTTAGACTTAGCTAAGGGTAGTGAACTAAGGACCTTAAATATATTCACTTCGGCTTTTACATCCAACTACCCCAACAGGTTAACAGCCGCAACTCGGACAGCGGCGTCAAGACCAAGAACGCCTCGCCTCGCACATGATGAGTACCAAGCGCGCCGAATTCCTCCTGGGAAGTGGAAATTATTTCCACTGGGAGTTTAATATGAGGATGACGCTCGCCAGAAAAGGGCTGCTGGTGCATGTGGAGGTGGTCAAGGAGGAGAGCGACATAATAAAGCTTGGCTAGTGAACGACGCGAAGGCTCTCGGCATCATCGCGCAGGGTGTGGAGCTACAACACCAAACAAAGAAAAGTTCATCTACGCGTGCGATTCAAGCGTGGGTAACGCTTAGGGAGTTCTACAATCGAACTACACTACACAATCGGGTCATGATGACACGGCGCCTCCACGAGTTCAAGATGGATACTGGAACGGCCATGGCAAAGAATTTGACGCCTTCGACGAGCTTGTTGTCGGTCTTCAGACGCTTGATGAGGCTGTAGACGAGGAACGGCAGCTGGTAGTAATACTGAGCAGCCTTCCAGCCGAATACGAGCTGATATCATCTATCATCGAAAACATCCAGAACGTCATGCTCATCGAGGTGAAAGAGAAGCTGTTGAAGGAGTGTGAACGGTTGGAGAGAAAGGACACGACTCCAGAACGAGCGTTCAAGGTTAACACTGGACGATTCAAGGGCAACAAGGGGAACGGTCGCAAGTGGAGCGATCAGAAGAAAAACGCTAATGGTTTCGAGGCAAGTGTTTTAAGTGCAACAAAGTTGGGCACATGAAGCGGGACTGTCAAGAACGGACAATAGATGGCGATGAAGATGCGGTATTTGCTGTAAGCACAGAACGTGTAAACGGATGGGTGATCGACAGCGGAGCGACCGCACACATGACCCCGCACCGTTCTGATCTGTTCGCGTATGAGAACGTGAATGGTGGCATCAAAGTAACAATCGCTGACGGAAAGAAGCTGCAGGTCACTAGACGTGGTACGGTACGCTTGCTTGGACTGGACGGTAAACGGATTAAGATGGTTGAAGTTCTTCACATACCGGGCCTCGATCGGCGTCTGTTGTCAGTGGGGAAGCTCGCGGATCGTGGACTGAACGTGGAGTTTCAGCGTTACTCATGTGTTATATGGGGAGCGGCTAGCGCAATTGTGAAGGGTAAGAAGGTCGGCAAGGCTTACATGTTAGACTGTGAACAAGAAGAAGCTCGGTTCGTCCAGTACGCCGGGGCTGACAGCAAGTGGGAGCTTTGGCACGCTCGCCTGGGGCATCCCAACCAGGATGCTCTGGATAAGACAAGGCATGCCACGAACGGTATTCCGGCTGTTGGTCAACAGCCCCAGTCTTTGTGCGGCGGATGCATGAAGGGGAAGCAAACGGTGGCTAAATTTCCGCATTGTTCCAGCTCGAAGACGTCGCGCGTTCTTGAGCTCGTCCACACGGATATGATGGGACCAATGAATAATCCTTCGAAAGGTGGTGCCAAGTATGTCCTGACGTTCGTGGACGACTACTCGCGCTACGTTGTGGCCTATTTCTTGAAAAAGAAGAGCGAGGTGGCCATTAAGCTTAGAGAGTTCATGACTTTCTATGAGAATCAATGGGGAGAGCGCATGAAGTGTTTACGATTGGATAACGGAACGGAGTTTGTGAACCAAGAGATGACGAAGATATGTATGCTGAATGGTATCGTGCATCAACGGACTGTCCTGTATAGTCCTCAGCAGAATGGAGCGGCGGAACGGATGAACCTTACTTTCATGGAGAAATCTCGAAGAATGCTACACGACAAGGGCGTTTCAATGGAGTGGTGGGCTGAAGCAGTCAATACTGCGGTATATCTGATCAACCGTTCCACGAACACGCAAAACGCAACTGTGACACCGTTTGAGCTAGGTTTCAAAGTGAAACCTACGCTAGATCACCTACGCGTATTTGGTTCTCGCGGGTACGCTCACATTGACGAAGCGAAGAGGACGAAGCTTGAACATAAGAGCTTTAGATGTCTGCTGCTCGGATACCCAGAAAACGTCAAGGGTTACCGTGTCTATGACTTGGACGCTTCCAAGGTCAAAGTTTCTCGCTCGGTGAAATTGGACGAGCGTGAGGTAGATGGTATTTACGATACACTACCTGCTCAGATCGAAACAGTTATTCATGTTAGCACAGACGCCGATGATGAAGTCACGCTCGCACCAGTGGAACTTCAACCCGTCGAAGCGGAACCCATGGAAGGCGTTGAGAACAACGCACCGGATGTAGAGATGGAGAGCATGCAACCGATACAGGACGCTATACCGCCGCTGCTGATGCCACAAGAACGGTCAGCTCCCACTGGATTTGAGTTGGAACCGTACCGTGGACCACCGACTATCTTCGAGGACGATCAAGTGGTGTTCAATACCCCTAGAGACCGTTTTAGAAGTTCCCGGGAACCAGTCTTCCTTCTTGAAGAGGGAACGGACGCAGAGGAAGAACGGAAGTCAGAAGGAAGAGATGGACCGTCCTATCCGAAGCGTGCCAGGATCGATGAAGACGGCCTTATTGCTGAAGCCTTTCTCGCGTACGCAGCAAGCATTGACACAGTGGATCTTCCTACAGCATACGCTCAGGCAATTGCCAGTGAAGATGCTACGCAGTGTCGTGAAGCCATGGAGGCTGAACTGCTCTCACATAAACGGAACAATACCTAGTCATTGGTTCCAAGAAAAACAGCCATCCGTACCATTGGATGCAGGTGGGTTATCGCCAAGAAGCGTGACTAGAACGGTCGCGTGGTGCGATTCAAAGCGCGATTGGTGGCGAAAGATTTCAAGCAGAAATACGAAGTGGACTTCTTTGAAACGTACTCTCTAGTGTCGAACATGAACTCGATTCGAGTTGTGCTCTCCGTCTGCGCTGCTTACGCATACGAGATGGAACAGCTGGACGCTGATACATCGTTTCTTAACAGTGAGTTGGAGGACCGTGTCTACATGGAGGTACCTATAGGAGTTGAGAACATCCAGGACTATGTGTGCAGCTGAACAAGGCCATTTATGGATTGAAGCAAGCTGCAAGTGCCTGGAACAAGACCATTAATCGTGTATTTCTCGACTGCGGTTTCAAAAGCTGTGGTGCGGACCAATGCGTCTATTTCAAGCGCTCCAAGAACAATTTTATTTACGTCTGCCTTTACGTCGATGATATGATCATTGCGGCAAAGACTAGTGATGAAATTAGTGACGTGAAGGACGCACTCAAGAGTGTCTTTAAGATGAAGGAGCTTGGACCGGCGAAATTTATCCTGGGAATGGAGATCGACCATAACATGACTGCTGGAACGCTTATGATCAAGCAAACCCGATACATCGATGATGTGGCGAACCGGTTTGGGCAAGAAAACGCTAGGACGGTGGACAACCCGTGTGCAACCGGTCTAAAGTTGTCAAAGTCGCAATCGCCAGCATCGGATGCAGAACGAAGCAAGATGCAATCGAGACCGTACCGCTTCTTAATTGGATGCCTGCTGTACATCACGACGTGTACTCGCCCGGACATTGCATTCGTAGTAACGCAACTTTCTCGTTTTCTCGATAATCCTGAGCAGCAGTATTGGAGTGCTGCTATACGTGTTCTACGCTTCTTAAAGACGACCCACCAGCACGTGATCATCTACAAAGGTGGTACTGGCAGCGTCACAGCTGAAGCCTACTCGGATGCGGACTGGGGTTCCAACCCCGACGACAGGCGTTCTGTCTCGGGGGTTATGATCATGATTGGGAACGCTCCGGTGGTGTTCAAATCTAAATTCAAACGAACGGTTGCCCTCAGCTCAGCGGAAGCTGAGTATATGGCTTTAAGCCTATGCGTTCAGGAAGTGCTATGGACGCGTGCGATACTGACGGACATGGGAATGGTACAAATGAAGGCTACCCAGATATGGGAGGGCAATCAAGGAGCGATTGCTTTGGCCCAAAACGCTGGTTATCATGCTCGGACCAAGCATGTGAACATCCGTCATCACTTCATCAGAGAGACGATCGAAGACGGGACGGTTGCGGTAGCGTATGTGGACACCAAACATCAATTGGCCGACATACTGACCAAGGCGCTAGGATCCAAGACGTTCAAGTTCCTGCGCGATGCAAACAGTATCCAGTGCAAAGAAACCAAGCAGTAGCGGCGAGTGGGAGTGTTGAGAATACGCCGCTTCGTGCAGTCGTTTCATGTTGGGTTCATGGTGATGATTTCTGTGTCAGGGTGTTTCATGGTGGTTATTACGGAAGAAGGTTATGGATCGCGGTTACATGATGAGATCACAGGATGTCGTTACATTAAGGGTTAGACTTAGCTAAGGGTAGTGAACTAAGGACCTTAAATATATTCACTTCGGCTTTTACATCCAACTACCCCAACAAATGGCTCTGTTCATTTTCATACTTCTGAAAGCATCAGATTGTAGGTACGTAGTTAGTATAGAGGCAAATTAGTGTGATTTAAGCTGGAAGACGCATCTATTTTGAGTTACAATAATGATCTAATAGGGGTGATTTAGAAATCCGAGCAATTATATGGGTATTCGCCTTTTTTAAGCTGTTTTTAAGCCCTCACACTGGACTCTTAGTGGCTTAAATGCATCGCGATCGACCTCGGCGTCGAAATTTTCATAAATGATGGGTTTTCAGGTATAAATTACTCGGCTTGCGGCTCGAGTCATTCCTCGGATAGCTCATATCCTCATGACTCATAATTCATATTACTTATACAGATTGTGTTCTACCATGCTCGTTCTATGGTTGCTAACTCATATTTTGTAACTCATGACTATCGGAGGTTTAGAAGATTTTGGAGAGACAGTGAAAGCGCACAGTTATACCCCTAGGCTAAGAAACTCATCTTTCTGGATTATACTAAACAATCGATGAAGGACTAAGAGCCTGAGTGTCTAAAAGGATATTTACAAATATTATGATGTTCTGAGTGGTGGCAGCTGTAACGATAGACACCTATAGTACTTATCGCGCTGGCCTTGAAGGCAACAAAGATCCGTACCTAAATAAAAAGAAAGTAAATGTCACTGAACTTAAAATCCTCAACTGTTTCTGCACGAAAAACGATCGATTTTAACTAAAATTTCTTAAAACCCTCTATCACTTTATATATACTGGTTTACTCAATAGACCAAACCCAATTATAGTATTGTAAAAACACAGTGCAGATAATACCTTTTTTTTTTTTTTTCTCACCCAATTTATCGCTCATGTAGAACACATCATAAGCATTCACAGCCCAGATTCAGGCATTGCTGCATCCATGTCTTCGTTTCATCAAAATAAAATATTTTTCGAAACCTCAGTAATACTAAATGTCAATGCTAAAAGAATTTATTATAATTTAGCAGATATATCATTTCCAGGTTTGAGTAGTTTTGCGGATTGCAGCTTGTTTTGCTGCCGATACCATTGCGGCTTTTGTCCGGAAAACCTGATAGTGTCTATGCGATGCCTTTAGTATGATTCAATTTTATAAAATTTCAAGAAAGATATTTTAATTTCATAATTAATTTGCTAAACCTTGCGCTATATTTGTTTGCTTAATTTTTTAAAATAGTTGTCATTAAATTAAATTTTTTGGTCATATTTTTGTTAAAATATATCAATTAGCTAGAATTGTATCTGTTTTGCTCTTTTTTAAATCAATGTATTATTTATATCTAAATTTATTTGATTTATTGAATAGTCTTTTGTGCAACTTATATTCTTCTCTTACAAAAAAGACGCCTTTAAATAAATCACTTTTTCTATATTTTAATCATATTTGCATTCGTGTGTGTGCGTTGTCCTTTAATGTTGTAACGAAGCATTGGTAGCTTCTGCAGAGCAAGCACAAGCTAATCTACACTGACTAAGTCTCAGTATTGTTGTGATGAAGTGTTGGAACATGATTTGGTAGTTGTGTGCTGGAGATAGATCATGGTTTTGATAATTGTGTTGTGAAGCGTAAAGGAAACCATGAATGGAAGTCCAAACAAGAGCATATTGAGCGATAATTGAAGCGTGCACAATCAGTCCAGATATTCCAGACCAGCTGTCTGTGCAGGGGTCGAGTGTGGTATAGCCGATCGAGATCGGGGCCATAAAACTTGGCTTTCAGATAATTGTGAAGCGGTATCTAGTTAAAAAATAGTGGGAAGACGCCCATTGACGTTTACGCCAGGATGACTCAATGGGCCAGACCCCATCCTTACTCGCCATTCCAGACTGCAAATAGGGACCGGGATCAGGGGACAGTGATTAGTGGACCGCAGAGTGGTAACCGCGATCCAGCTTAGCCACCAGATACGGAAGGGTTGCAAAACGATTCGGAAGAAGGCGACACGTGGCATTATATCCTGACCTATGGGGTAGGCATAGTCAAGGTTTTAGTCTTTGGGTGGTTAACATAAAATATAATTCAATTTGCCTTTCGTGTCGTTCTTCTTCCAATTTGGATATTTTGGCCTTTCGACGTCAGAGAACTTCGACACTACGAACTGAAAGATATCTCCTATATTAATTTGGTCAGGAGTGCAAGGACTTTTGACACCCCTTAAGTGTGATCGGACACAAGCAGACCTACTGGTTGAAGTACAAGATCGCGAGACGGCTCAAGTGATCAGTAGGCTCGCGACTTAAGTACCTCATTTTTGGCACAAGGCGATCAAAGCTGATCGCGGCGACTCCGGGAGAGCTCCAACCAGTAACACGCATTCGGGTGGAGAGTTTCCGCCCGAGCGACACTAATCTATACAGCGGTAACGTTTAGCATCGACTCAAGTCTACCTAGAAGCATGCTGTCCTCCCTATTGACGGGCACACAAGGTGAGGATGGAACAAGTGCGAGCAAAATCGAAGTACCCCTCCGTTAGTCGGTAGCCTGGGTGCCAGTGGAGATTTAAGATCGCCCCATAAAATAAGCGAACCCCACTTCATTACAGTTTCCCCCGTTACTTCACGTACACGACACGTGCAAAGGAATACTACATGTAAAACACTTGTCTTTTGGAAGTATTTCTTCTTTTGCGGACACTCCCTTCCGGGTCAACGCCCCAGAGGCTCGTTTGGTAGTTATAGTGGGTGATTTTTGTGGTAACACTAAGAGTTTAGAAGGTTATAAGTTTGTTGTAAGCAGAATACAGAGATATATCACTTTTAGATTCGATGAGCCACTGACGAGGCTCCAGGAGGGGGGTAACGTGTCTGGCGCGCGTTTTAATACAAAATTTTATACCATGCTTTCTCTTTCCTACATTGTCTGAAAGAGGTAGATAACAAAACTAATTTATAGAAAAAAAAGTCATAATCAATATCATGCGCTTATTCCGGACTTTTTTATATTTACAGCAACGTATACTGAAGTCTTGCTCATCACTCATTTAGCGTGTCTGCCATCGATTAGACCGCTTGGTCTGGCTGAAATGATGGTCCAAGTTAGCCAATAGGTAAATGCTTTTAAAAACTACCCTACGTGGTAGTATACGTTATCATCTGATAATCAATTCTTGGGTATTAATTAGATATAACAGGCTCACGCCGTTACGTCACCCCTGCCTAATCGATAGTACATAAAAAAACATAAGATTGACATGGTTATCGTAAGACCACATCAGATAAAGAGAACACTTTTTAGCCAGGTCCACCCATCTCTATGATAACACGCATGAAAAAGAGCCCCTGCAGAGCGCGAAGAAGGACGCCGAGAAAGAAGCCGTGTGTGCTACTGAGACTGCTTGCGACGATTTAAATCCACACTCGTCAGACAACCATTCGTCTGTTGCTTCTTGACTTCCACCTGCGGCATTAGTTTCTGCAGATGCACGTGGCGAGTCACCTCGTGCTAATGATTATTGCTCCCGGATTGGGATCATCTACTCTGGGAAATTGGACGGTGGGTCCGACTCGAAAAGGGCTCCTCGGTCGCCCGGGTCTTCCAAAGCAACCGAGTACGATCCTTCCTACAAGACTCTATCAGGCGATCAGACTCATGGCCACTACCAGAGTCTGTTTAGTTAGGAGTATGAGAACGTTAGTTATTCCACCGCGCAAGATGCTTCTCACTTGTCGGATAGCGAATGTGTCGGTGGCTAGCGTTATCGTGATGGCTATACTTGGTAGCTAAGACTTCCGTTGGTACTCCACAGAAGGCTCTGACTGAATGTGTTGCGTCTCGCCCCTGCGTAAAAGCCTAGGGTCCTGCCGGAAAGGGTTTTAACGAATTATCTGGTGAGGCAACACTCACTATCGAATTCATTAATTTGATGTAAGACTGTTGCACGGCTCTAACATTAAATAGAGTAGCTACAGTGCTGAAGAATACTTTTCTTTTGACGCTTTCCCAAGCATCGGTGGTACAGTAACAACACCAAGCGAGCAAAACGTTCTTTGTTGTAGGTGTGGAATGTATCTATGCTCAATGTGTAACACATCGGGCGCTATACTTTAGTACGAAAAAATAAATGCGGCCCTTGTAGGTTTAACATGCAAACTCTCACTGGTGCAAAAGTAAGGTGAAACATCTGTCTCGTGAGGCTGCTGGAATTTCATGCCTCACACGTGTCGACTCATGTCGGTATTGTTTTATGGAGGTGTATTCCCTTTCTTTGCCCCTGGGGTAGGGCGCATATCTCATCAGAGATGCGCGATGCGATTGCTGATCTGCAATCGGTACATGCGCTTGGGTGCGTGTATTCCGATGGCCCTACTGAGTCATCGGAATTTTCATCGTAATGATGAATGAGAACCTTACCATTAATCATCAGCTGGGCGCGAGGCTCTCAACTGTCATACAACGGTGGGTAGCCGAGCCAGAGAATGAGGTAGTTCGATAGATGGCCCTTCACGTCAAGGTAGATCAAGAAACGCTACACTTGAAAGCGTTGACCGTCGTGCGAGTCCATTAGCGGCTGTGGTGGAGGTAAAGGGATCATTTCCGAATTGTCTATCGGGATTGGAATTGGATGCGAATTGTATCAATCGAAACCTCCGTAAATTGCGTGATCAATAGAGACATGATTGACTCGCTTCGGAGGCGTCGGCACAGCGGTACCGCCTCCATCAGTCTTATGACCGATTTAATTCGCAGTCTCTTGATTAAAGACGAATAGGGTCGTCAAGCCATTTGTAACGATGTGGCGAAAGCTTA